CTCGTCCTTTCTGGCCTCCTGCAGAATGCTTGGTATCCATGGTCTTTCGATAGCCTCCTAGCGGTCTCTTGTCGTCCTATGTCCTACCTTTCTCTTTTTTACTTCCCCTCTCTTCATGCAACATCAACAATGCCACCTCCTCTCTCTCCATCTTGGAACCAATGCTATTGGTAGAGCAGGAGAAAAAGAAACAGAATAGGACTCATCGACCATGGAAATGAAACCGAAATAGAAATAGATGACGAGGTTGGCCCGAGCAAGGGACATCTCGGGAAACAGCGCGCTTACAGCTTGTTTCAAGTCGTCGGCTCCTCTCTTTTTCTGTTCCTGCGAAGCAGGTATGCGGATGGAAGAAGGAGGAAGTAACTAAAGAAAAGAATGGCAGGACTGCAGGTCTCTGGCCATTGTCCTCGCCGGCGTCTGCTCTGAAATACTCGTACCATTTCCACTTGGGCCTTCTCGCAAGGTCTCCCCACCCTTTTTTTTGTTCTCGAGTCCACGGTCCACTCTCTTCCTTAGTCTCTCGCATTGGTCCTCACGCTTTCCCCAACTGACGTTAACGGTTTGCCCTTGTCCGGAGCCGTTCGAAGCTCTCCTGTCTCTGTTTTCAAGGACAGGGCTCGCGGTGCACGCAACACTTTTCCCACACTCACCAAGAACACTAATGCACGATTGGAATGTTTAGATGTGAAGCTTCAGGCCACCCTCGTTCCTCTTTGCCATCCGTTCCGCCGCTTGCTGATCGTCCCGGCCCCCTCCCTTCTTTCTCTTGTGCCTCTTGGTGCCTCTTGTCCTTCCCCTTTGGTCGTTCCCCTGTTCATCCTGCACGGAGGCTAGGTTGGCCCGTTCCATGTCGTTGAACCAAACGTGTAAGTACGTTATGCCTACAAAGTAATTAATACTGATGTACGCACAACATACACGCAATTCCCTCTGTAATATCCGTCGGCCATCGGCCTTGTGGAAGTGACGCTGGCTGTCAGCTCATTTCGTGGAGATGATGCCTCGAAATGGCGAAAAGACTGTGTGCGGCTGGGTGCTTCTTTCCTATCGTTGATTGCCGTTGATCGTCGTCGGTTATCATCGACACGAAAAGAGACTTGGATTTCGTGCTGCGTGTGGCTGGCTTGGTCGTTCACGCTTAATGCTAGATTCTGCACGCACACTTGCATTAGTAGTGTGCATTTGCAGCGTCGTATGCGGTTCTTTTTCTGCGAGCACTCTACGACCGCCGACAGACCGCGCAACCTGCCAAGAATAATCTACTTTGTACAGTGAACCTGGTCCGCCGGGACTGCTCGCCTGCATTTCCGGAGCATCCATCTCGGCCGGTCCTGCTGGCCTTGTAGACGTCCTGCAGATGACCAAGGAATAGAGAGGTTAACTCCCGCGACGAGTGAGAAGAATCATATATATCGTACAGAAAATATTTGAAGAAAACTGGAAAATAACAGCGGAGGCGACAGTTGATACTCTGCCGCTGCGATGGCGGAAGGACCAAAGATGCGGGATAGATTAATAGTACAACCTGCTGCAATAATTGCTTCGAATACGATCTCGACAAACAGCGAGCATATGAGCGTGTCGTGCTCAGCTCACCTTCAAGACGAAATCCCCCAAGGCCTGGAATGCAACTCCTGTTTCTGTCATAACTCAAATTTCAAAGAAATGAATGGGTGGGCAGCCGTCGGTGTCTGAAAATATATAATGCAATCAAGTACTTCGTGATTGTGCCGCAATTCAACAAAAAAGCAACCCCCATCCCGACAACAAGGACTCTACTTTCCATGCACATTCTGCATGTTGGGACCGTCACGTTTTGTGTTGCGTCGACAGTACCGTGTTGACGTGCATTGATTGGACTCGTAACATGTCATTTTTGAAGCAAGCTTCACGGCGACTAGAGCGGATGCCCACAACGTCCCACCAACTTCACAGATAAATAGCTGGAAAATGCATGTCTGTCCGCGGAAGCCATCCGGAGAAGATGTATTCATGCATGACGACGGAGACGAAGAGAAGCAGCAAGAAATCTACGACGTCTTCTCACATCGTTTTTGCAGTCCGTTGGTGCGCATCGTGCCGGTTGCCCCGTTTGCATTCTTTCCATTCGCAAGAAGACAACTTGGCGGCCCTGCAGGACGACCAGAATGGACGTGAACGGGATTTCAGTGTGATATTGAGTGAGAGTGCGTCGTAATGCGTCGTAGGATGACTGTGCAATCAACGTGCACAATAACCTTCGACGTCGCTGCCGAACATATGATGTCTGTGCGGACCTACCCCCTGGCCCCCTGGTCGAATGTCTTTCTCCGAACGCTCGTCATTGGCAGGCATCGGTAGTGAGAGCGCCATATTCCTTGATCCCGTCAATTCATAATCAGGGAGACGGAGACGAAAATAAGACAAACCATCTCGCAAAAGGATGGGCACGCAATTCGCGCGGTCGCTGTGGCCCAGCAGGCTGGTGGGCCGTGAGTCAGTGAGCGAGTGAGCGAGCCGAAAGCGAGTGCTGACAAGCAAATACGCTGCTATTGAACAGCGTTCGTAATTGCATCACCAATTTCACTCAAGTAATGTATGGTCCAGAGTACGAAAATACAGAAAAGGGAAAATCAACACATCGCCAGTTGCGCCTTCTTCGAAACGTACGACAAACGCGCCTTCCCAATATCGAGTGTTGTTGTTGGCAATCGCTCTTTCAGCTGTAGTGTGCAACTGTGGAAGGTTGGAGGCTGGGCAGGACTTCCAGAAACGGGAGGCAGCTTCAGCTTGCTGGTGCTCCCGATGCGCGTTGTCCGTTCTTTCCTGTTTGGGCTTGGCACCCGACCTCTTTACACTCCAGCGACGACAGTTAGCGAGGGTAGTGCCCTTTATGCAGGTCGCACTTGCTCCGCCGCCCACCTGCTGCTGGAAGGTGCTGCATGCTGCATGCACACCTGCTTTTCTTTTTTCTTTCTTTTTTTTCCTATTCAACTCCAGTACTCAACAGGCAACCCACTTTTTCTCACTTTTCTGCATGTTCGCACCTGCCCTCTTTTTCTGCAGTCTCTTCGCCTCCAGTCTGCCTTGGCCCAAAAGCTGCACATGACGGCAACTGCAGCAACAAAAAAAAAAAAAAAAAAGATAACGAATACCATTTACTCCATAGCTCCATAGTTCCTATGGCGGCCCTTTGCTCCCTCCCGTGTCCACGCTGCTGCGCAAATCGTATCGACGGACGAAAGGCCCTTGCACATTTGTCTGTGTATTACCCACCGTCCATAGTACACAAACATACTGCACTGCGTACGATATAGTGCATGTCATCGTATGGTAGAAAAGAGGGCACGAATCGTAGCAAAGATCACACAGTTACGGCCACACGGTCGCTCTTTCCTGGCCTGCCAGGCCTGGTTTGTCGTCGCTGCTGTCTCCTGTTGTGTCCCCTCCTTCCTTGTGACGTCCTCGCCCGGCTCGCTCTGTCCTTACTGGCGCGGCCTGCCGACCCTTTTCGTTAAGACAGGAAAGAGTCTGCGACTCATGGAAAGAGCAAGCAGGCAGGCATGGCCGACGCAAATGACATCGAAAATATTCAAACCAACGGGAAGGGGCGAGAACGGCATGCACGACCGCGGCGACAACAGTGGTGAGGAAGGCGCGGCGCAGCCACAGACAGACGGCAAGAAGCAGTTGTAGTAAATAATGCAAAGTAAACAATTGATAAAATAAAAACTCCCATCCACGGCAAACGACAAGGCCGTTAAAAGCGCCCGCCAACCCCAGCGTCTCCCCTGCATTCCCTGCACTCTGCCCTCCTGCATCGCTACATCGCTCCGACGTACATACATCGCACCCTCCGGACTGTTCTATTTTTCGCTTCATGCATCGGCGGCAGCGGCAGCCCTGGCACAGACTGCCCCTGCCCTGGCATGGCCTTACCGAAAAGCCTATGTAGTCATGTTGAATGTACTCCGTAAAGTCGTCGCAGTTCGCACCTTCCTTCCATACTCACACGCTCACACACCCCTCCTTCCTCCACACCCCCCCTTGCCTTCGCCCTCTGCCCCACTGCAGAACCGCTCCTGCCCTGCAGCGACGGACCCATTGTCCCTCCTCCGACCCTCTTTTGCGCTCACCACTGCACGTCTTCTATTCTTCCTTTTTTCTTCTTTTTTTGTTTTCTTTTTACCGTCTCTCCCCCTCCCCCGGTGGCATGTCCCGCACCGCTGGCCCTACTGACCGGCGGATTCCCCCAGCCAGATGGCTGACTGCCAGACTACCAGACTGCCAGATAACCCGGGACAGCCCAGAAAGCAGAGGGCTGTGATTTTTGTATATCTCTCCCCACCACCCTCTTCGTCTTCTTTTCGCCCGTCTTCCTTTTACGAGATTCCCACCCTCCTTCTTCCTCTTCCTCTTCACGAGTTCTTCGTCCAACCTTTCCCCCCATCCCCTCTCCCCCTTCTATTCATCCAGTCGTGGCGTCGTCTTAGTTCTCCATTCCGCTCTCTCTTCGCGATATTTCTCTCGATTTTATGCATCTCATCTATTCATCTCTTTTTCTCTTGTCCTCTCCTTCGTCACTTCATCATAGCCCTCCTCCTCACTGAGAACCGCCCGACTGCTCTCTTTTTTGCCTTCATCCGCCTTTATTGCTTCTGCCTGGAAGCTCCTTTTTCTTCTTTTTCTTCTTTTTCTTCTTTTCTTTTGTTTTATATATTCCATTCTTTGCCCTTCCGGTCTTCGCTCCGGCCTTCGTCAACGCACCCCTGCTGTTCCTGTTCCCAGACCTGTGGTCTGCCGCCCGTCAACAACAGTCTGACATCTATCACGCCTCCTCCTTCTGCGTCCCGTTGATACATTCTCACAATCTGATATATACCTTGCCTTCCTCCCGAGTTTGCTCGTTCTGATCGACAACCGGATAGCTGCCTCTCGTGTCTGTCTTTGCCACTCGCCTTGCAACAGACACATCTCTTGTTGTTTACATTCACAGCCAGCTCACATTCGTTCACATCATGCCTCCGCAATTGTTACCGGCGTCCGCCGCCGCCTTTGCTCCCCGTGCCTCTTCTGTCAACGTCGTCCTGGGCTCCAAAGTCGAGCCATGGCTGACCCAGAACCTCAAGCGCATCAACAGGGTCAAGCGCCCACTCAACAGTGTAGCCCAGCACCAGCGCTGCCTCACCGAGACTCTTTCGTCGGAAAACGCCATCTGGACATTGACCTCGCTCATGGTGCCCAAGGCCCCTGAGGCCGAGCTGCGCCAGGACCCCAACCCCCTCGTCGAAGCCCTCTTCAACTACCAGCTCATCACTGTCGAAGCCTACATTGTCCACGTCGACATGGTCCTGCGCAACGAGGTCGCCTTCAAGCTCACACCGGACTCCATTGAGGCCCTGATCGAGTACCACAAGGACATCCACACCGTCGACAACAAGGCCAACACCTTTGACTGGCCCGAAAAGGAGCAGCAAGCCAAGAAGATGCACAACGACTTTGTCCAGGCCATCAACAAGTACGTCTACCGCACCCACGTTACCGCCCTCGAGGGCCTCGAGGAGGACGGCGCCGGCGAGCTGCTGTGTGGCAAGAGCGACGAGGTCAAGACCAACATCCTGGCCCTCTTTAAGACCCTCACGCCGCCACCGCCCAAGCCCGTCGAGGTCTTCCGCCAGCCGCCCCTTCTTCCCAGCAACGCCGGCTCTGCCAATCTGAGCAGCTTGTGGACACAACCGTCGCTGTCCCCCCATCCTGCCAACGCCATGGCTGCCGCCATCGCTGCCACTGCTGCTGCTATCACATCAACTCTGCCTGCCCCCGTCGAAGCTTGGCGCGTGCTTCCGTCCAGCCCCAACATCTCGGCCACCTCGGTCGAGTCGACCAACACCATCTGGGCCAACATGAGCATGCAAGAGATGCAGCACGACATGCCGCACGATATGCAGCACCAGCACCAGCACCAGCACCAGCAACACATCTCGCCCTCACCGCCATTGCACTACAGCCAGGCCTACTCAACCGCGCCCCTCTACTACGCGTCGCCCCTTGTCACTGAGCCCATGCCCCAGCTGACGCTCCCCAGCATGCTAACACCACAGCAATGTGGTGTCAGTGTTGGGTACGGCGGCTTCGGCTGGGATAGGTATCAAGAGTACACTGCCGCCATGATCTGACAACCAGCAGCCGTCACTGGAACAATCTCAAATACCGGGTTTCCAATGGTGCCAATGGCGCCACCGACAACTACCACAATGGCGCCCACGACGACTGCTCCCTCTCCTTATTCATCATAGGATTGGATGCGAGCAAGGTGGACCACTGTTTCGTCTTTGGTGTCCGCCTCGTTTCCTCAAGTCAACAAAAAAACAGTCGAAAAGCTTCCGAAAAAAGAAACATTTCTTATGTATCTTTACTTCTTCCCTCTTTATCTTTTCCTTATTGGGGTTGTTTCAGGGACGGCGTTGACGAGTCTGGGGCCTTTGTTTTTTTTTTTGTTATTTTCATTTTCACTTCGAACCCGCATTGAAAATAAAAAAACAAAACAGGGTTACGTGGCGTGGCGTCAACGGCATCGCGGCTTTGCTTTTTCCATTTTCTCTCTCGATTTCTTCGATCTGGCATCTCGAAAGCGGCGACGCGATCTTCACTACAGCGCAGCAAAAAGATTACACTGCAGCGGACACACTTTGCATCTTCAATTCCGGCATAAAATTCGGCAGGCACGTTTGCCTCTTACACTCGGTTTCAATTTTTTTCATCAAGGCACATATATCAGCATTCATCTTCGGCATTTTCATTGTTTTAGCACAGGAGCGATCGGGTCCGGCACTTGCACATACCATTCACCACTCTGGGAACTTAATCTTTTTCGAATTTTTTGAATTTGCAACAGCGTAGCGAGCGATTTCCTTTTTTTTCTTTTTATCATATCCCCCATTTTCCTTTTGTGTTTTACCTTTCTTTTCCATTTCCATGGGGTCACAGGGAAGGGGTGAAAGACTTTCTCACTATCAGCACGATCCGCAAGGTCGGTCACACAGCTTATTGTTTTCTGTCTTGTTTCCCTATCTTTCTTATATTTTCCTATTTTTCACAGCTATTTCCTTTTTCATCTACCCCCTCATCACGGCTGGGCCTTCAGACGGGTACACTATTGCATCTTGGGAAGGGCGAATACAGGCGGAACTTGGTATTTATTAAAGACATATGCAGCAATGCAGTCTGGCAAGACTCCAGACAAGACACATTTCCTGTTTTCCTTCTTATTATTTTTATCCCCTTTTTATTTCTTTTTCCCCTACTTCTTTTGCTAACCCTTCATTTGCCTTGGTCTACGGCGGCACTGGCAATATTTTTTCATCCGAAGATACCCTCCACACGCATGTCGTCTAGTCGAGCTACCGACGGCTGCGTTTCGCTCGCTGCACGGGCTTTCAATTCTTTTTCTTCACCTCCCCTTTCCCTTCTCTTGTTCATATTTCATTTGCAGCCTTGCGGGTCTGGTTATCGTTTTCGGTCCCTTTATCACATTGTTTTCTCGGATTTGTTTGGGTTTGCTTTCATCGGCATTCGAAATGATTTACGACCCTTTTTATGACGAATATACCCCTAATACGAGCATTGACGACAAAAAGAAAGAGGCTGTTTTATCCTTTGATAGGAAGCGGCCTACACAAGAACTACTTGTTTTCGGCAGTAATACTTTCTTTCTTTTTCACGAAAACGCACGCATACGATATATTCGACAGTCAAGCTTGTTTTTGGCGTACGACGACTAGAAACCGGTTTTCTCGACTCTACCAAAACGAATTGCTCTAATACACGCAAAAGGGCCTAAAACAACAAACTTGCAAAGACGACAACACCATTGATACTTTGCATCATTTCGATCCCCGGGACCTAAAGCGGCGCGCCAGGCAACATTGAACAATGGGAAGGACTGAGATCGCCAGACATACTCAACTCGCAACTGGTTTGCATCGAGGCTTTATCTCTCGTCCTCTCCTTTTATTCTATTTACTGCGGCCGTCTTGGTTCATATTCCCACTCTTTTCCTTGAAACAATCAAGGTTCAACGCAACTTGACAATATTAATTTTTGAAGCTCGAAGAGGCTCGCTTCAAAGCACAAAATCAGCAGGATACCAAGCTTTCTCTTCTATGGCCGCCGCAAAATACACTGCAGGACCAGTCGTTTTTTGTTTACGTTGGTCAGTTGGCACAGCTTTCTCTGATTTTGCTACCTGCCCGCCATTGCCAACCGACTCTCCGTCTCTTCTTTCCTTCGACCTCCGACATCGATACTTATCTCTTTGGTATCGAGATCCGAACCAATCTGAGGACTGTGGTAATGATGGTGAACCGGAAAGAACGATTGGATGGGAAGAGTCTGGCAAATTCGCCGACTGTAGCTCACCTCGCTACAAAGGCTTTCTCCCTTGTTGTCTCGCAATCAGTTTTCTGAGCATGGGATAAAGTCGGCCCCTGGAATAGCCATCGTGGGGTAGGAAAGTACAAGCTAGCTGCGAGTGACCGAGAGTCAACAAATGGCTGAGGCTGGCACGGCACAGGAGAGAAATAAAGGACTCGCCGCGCGAGCGCTCCTACTGCCTGGTGATCTCCCTCCCCATCTTGTGGGCTTTCCTCCCTTCTCCTTCTTGCTCCTTTGCCTTTTTCCCCGGCGGCTAGGGCCAACTCGAGGTGCTGGACATATATGTTTCTACTCTATCTTTTCTTTTGTCAACCTTGTGTCTCCTTTGTCTCTTTCCACCTCTTTTCCTATTTTTCTTAGGTGATGGGATGAAACTGAAGATGTTGAGTCAGCCATTTGTAGGGAACGGCCGAGAAAGCGGAACACATCCGGGCGATGGCGTTCCCCTCTGTCCGGACGTTTGCCTCAACTCTGCTGCATACTCTTTGTTTCTCGACAATCCCACCAACAGTCAACCTCTTTCCGTAGTGACTCCATGCGATTTGCTTCCACTAGTAGTTAATTTCTGGATGTCTCCCAAATACAAACAATTTCCAGTATTCAAAAGCCAGAAGGCAGTAAGGTGTGATAGAATGCGTAAACACGAAAGTTTTAATCTAAAACTTAAAAGAAAAAGACAAACGGTGGCCAATATCCCTGACGTGGCGATCGGGAGACGCAACACGTTGATTTCTTTGCATTTACATTGCGGTGACGCCTCTATTTTATCTCCTGGCTGCAGTGTTTGTATGGTTTTGTATCATCTCGCTTCGGCAGGGATACAAGTATTTTATGAACTGCGATGCTACAATAGCGGTTGCACTCTGGACGTTCCGGAAGTAATAGTCTTATTCGCCGTCCATTCTCTGCATCATCACTTAAGCATGTGTCCTGTATTATCTGGGAACAAGGCCGAACGTTAGCAAGGGTCCTTGTGTTGGTGGAACGCGAAGTGGCGTTTTCACTGCATCCATTCGTTTGCTCGTTTAGGTAACAACTCCGTGGGTTTGTGGTGCCAACGTTTGTTTCGTGTTCTTCCCCTGCATCCTTCATGTGCGTGGTACATAAGAGGAAGGGTATTTTTTCATACTTAAACAATTATTGTTCTTGCTTGCTAAGTAACAAATTTTGATTGGTTTTTTTCGTGGTTTTTTTTTTTTTTTTTTTTTTTTTTTTTTTTTTTTTTTTTTTTTTCCAAGGAGAACTGATAAGTTTCCGCCAAAAATAAAAGGTTTTATTTTTAGGTTTTCTAACTTGAATTTTTTTATTCATTTTTATTCCCCCAAAGAAAATCTTTAGTCATTAACCTGCTTGAATTATTAAGTCTGTGAAATTGATACAAAAATGAAATAATCATAAACGCCAAAGGAGATATCAAAGAGAAATTACGGTATCAACTACAAACATTGGTCACTCGGCACCAAGACAAACAGAGGACGCACATTCGCATTGAAATCAAAACGCACGAAAATAGGATCTAGCCAAGACCCAAGATCAACCATCCAACATCCACGATCACAGTGCTTGCCAAATCCCGGATTAGTTGCCTGACAACTCCTTGGCCAAGCCGTTCGCAATATGGTCGGCAAACGACATCGTCGTCACCATCGGGTTCGCACCACTGGCGCTCGGGAAAACGCTTGCGTCTGCCACGTACAGGTCCCGTGTGCCCCAGACCTGGCCACGCGGGTTGACCACACTGGCCTTGCCTTCGTCGTCGCCCATGCGGCACGTGCCCATCTGGTGCGCCGAAATAAACGGCGTGGCCACGTTCCAGCCGCCCCACAGAGGCGACGACGACAGCGCGGCCTTGCGCACGTCCTTGAGCCAGGCCTCAAAGACCGGATCGTCTTTGGTGTTATCGCTCTGGCCCTTGTTGGCCCGTATGAAGGGCTTGGTATGCGCAACAAACGCGCGGATCTCGTTGGCACCGGCGGCATAGCACAGACGGGCGATGCCAATAACGCCCTCGACACCGTGCTCGCGGTCAAGAGCGGACGGATGGTAGTCGACGACGGGCTGGCCTGTGGTAGGATCCGGGAAGACACGGCCGCTGTCGCGGTCGCGGGTCAGCGCAATGAAGCCGTCCATGTGCGGGTAGCGCATGGCGGCTAGCTTAAAGTCAAGGCTGTTGACCCAAGGCATGTTGGACATGATGGCGTAGGGCTGAGAGGATGTCAATAACTGTGACAAACATGATATGTGACAAGCAGCAACAACAACAAGAATAAAACAAAAATCACCTACCACCATGCACGTAGACTCAAGCCGAGGACCGTGGTATTCGCCGTCAAGGTCTTCAAAGCTGGTGCAGATACTTGTAATGATACCCTCTGTAGCAGAATATGGTTAGCATGCTGTTGCACACAGTCGTATGATGCAAAGCTGGCTTAGGCACTTACTGTCCATAGGCCTCGTTTCTTCGTCGAAAAAGGCCGTAACGAAGTTGCAAGGATGAAGATGGAGGTTCTTGCCGATTTGCGGGTTCTGTGATGTCAGTAGCTGGCTTTCAAATGTGATTTCGGCATCCACTATCCCGTCGCCGGAAAAAAAAACTTACCTCAAGACCGCTGTTTTTGAGAACAACAGGACTCCACAGACTGCCAGCGGACACAACGACCTTTCTCGCTTTGATGACCACACGCGTCTTGGTGCGCTCGTCGCCGGCAACGCCACCGTTGGCGTCCCTGGACGTCCATGTACCGACGACACCAATGGCCTTGGCGCCTGAAGCAGACGTCGAATGGGGAATGGATTTGGTGGCTGCGCCCTCGGCTGTGCCGTCGTCGCCCTCAAAGAGCACCCGTTCCACATGGAAGCCCTCAATAAACTGGGCGCCCGCGTTCGCGGCAGCCGGCAGCCAGCTGACCGATGTGCCCTGCTTCTCGGCCGTGGCACAGCCCAGGTGGCAGTAGCCGTCGTCGTGCGGCTTACCACCCTTGCTGTTTTGGAGAAGAGTGTCGGCCTTGAAGCCCAGCTTGACGGCACTGTCAAGGATAACGCGACCGCGATGGGACTGCTCGTCGTCGACCTTTGCGACCTCGTCAGTTGTGGCCGTGGCCGGTGTATCCTCGATGACGCTGTTGACGCCCATAAAGTCACACACGCGGTCCATGGATGCATCAAACTCGGGGGAAGTGAGGAAGCTCATTCCGGGCTGGTCCTTGGGGGCCCACTCCTGCCGCACACGGTCGGGGGTGCGCAGGCTGACGGACCAATTGATGGTGCCGCCGCCACCCCAACAGGCACCGGCCGCCACGTTTATGCCCGGATCGGTCGAGGCCAAGACTCCATTGTTTTCAAACAGGAGCCGGGCACCCTCGTTCTGCGGCATGGGCAGTTGTGTCTGTGGGTAGTGGTAGCCTTTCTCCACAACAACGACGCGGTGGCCCGCCGATGCGAGAATCTTGGCAGACACAGCACCTCCGCAGCCCGAGCCAACAATGACAACATCAGTCTCAATGGTCTCGAGCTTGCCGTTGGCACTGTCGTCTTTGCCAAACTGCAAAAAGTTGTAGTCGAAGCCTGGGCCGGCCTTCCAGTTCGGGGGAATGTCTCTGAAGCCAGTAATCTGGCGAAACATGGGGGACGATATGAGCCACGACGTCTGCGCCAGAGCTTGGAAGGACCGGGCCGCAATCCGGATGATTGGGAGCCAGGAGTTGGACCAGTTTTGGAGGATCTTCTCCCGGATGTGGATGGGCTGCTTTTGCACTGGAACGCAGTAGCCTGTCAAAGCCAGTGCACCTGCTCGACCCCTGTTGAAAGCGCTCAGTTAGTGATCGTTATGAGAGAAAAAATGCCTTTAAGATACTAGGGGGATGCACGTACGAAAGCAGGGTCAACAGCTGGCCTAGTTCCTTCCGGGTGCCTGGAGAGACGCCGGACAAAGTACGCCGGACGCCCATGAGGAACTTCGGGTTATCAGACGCCCGGTCAGCCAGGTAGTCAGTTACATTAGCGGCTTCGGGCGGGCTCAAAACGCCGGCACGCGCCCCGGCGATGGCTTTGTCGAGCTCGGCCTTGGGCAGTTGCTTGAAGGTCGCCCGGTTGAACTGAAGGCCGTCGGTCGGTGCAGCCTTATTGGCCCTCTGCTGCTCAATGCGTGCATCGCCCTTTGCGACGACAGGTGCCAGGACGGCATCGAGCAGAGACACAAGCACAGACCATTGGGTCTCGTCCCACCAGTCGCCGGTGGGCGGCGGCGCAAGGATGGGTGTGTTGGGAGCCGTCTGAGCGTTCGCTTGCGTCTTCGCTTGTGTCTTTGCTTTCGTCATGGTATCGTTCTGTTACGTCGTAGTTGGTGGATGCGCTTGTCGATGCGAGCGAGGGACGCTATGGGGTAAATACGGGCCGAGGCTCACGAGTTGGAGAACGGATCTTGGAGAATCGAGGTCGAACGCAGAAACAGAGAAAAGAGAAACAAGTAAGGGTCAGAAGCGATGAAGAAAATAAGAAGAGGAACGACACGACGAGAGACGAGACAACAGGACCTCCAGCCTCTCTTCAACTCGCGACAATCGTATTAAGGAGTTAAGCGTTCCTTGTGATTTCGTGCTTCCCCGCATTTGCTGCCAGCTTAAAGACGCCGCTGTACCCAGTGGCCTCGGCACTGGCATGGCGCCTGGAAAGCTAAGGTCCAGCTTCTGACACCAATTACTGCCTCACAGCATATTTTATGGTTGAAATTGGGCGCTAGGGCGATCGCCGTTTTCAAGGGACAACGTGCATCACGTCGGTGACACATACTGGCACAGATGTCGGGGCCGCATTTTGATGCGCTTGGTCCGGTGTGTGTCGCGCATATGCTGTACGATGCATTGTGAATCGCCAGTATACTGCAAGTCGTGTAGTGGTGAGACGATGCCCTACGTCCCATCGGTGGCTATTCTGGCGTGGGATGCAAGTTAAAAGGTGTCATTCGGGCGCCGCCCTTCGGGAGCCTTCTTGGAGGTCGATACAACGGTGGGTTTCTTCGCACGTTATTCATTCCACTTGAAGTTCTCGGCAGTCGACAGGTGGTACGACAGAGTCCGAGTTGTCTCGACTGAAATGATGGATTGGACATGATTAACAGTAAAGTCTGGGGCAGATGATACCCCAGAATGCGGAGGTGCTGGGCTCTCACTGTGTCGACACTGTGTTAATACAAAGCATATGATCGGACGGACAGCTGATTTGGACAACCTGTGAGACTCTTCTAACCTGCTGTCGACACGCCATTCCTCAATGGGCGCGCTGTGATGGTTAATGTTGCCGCCGGAACAGTTTGCCAGCCAAGAACGTCTTCTTGGATAAGACGTAATTACTCCGTATGTCGTTCCAGCTGGCCTCTTGTAACGGTATGCAATATACAAAATAAAAAAGCAGTCATCACGACATGCACCCAGTCTAGAGATCTTGAAAACCGAGATATTTTATACCGGACGACCCGGGACAGGCTAGCCGAAGGGCATCGGAGCAGCTGAATGCGGGGAACGGCCCAGGGATCCGGGTGGTGGGTGATATTCCATAGATGAATGACGATGCAAACACGGGACAAGAAAACGGGGTACGGAAGACATGTTGTGATCTGCCATGCACGGAGTGGGTATTGTTTGAGGCCCGAGAGGCAGACGGTGGATTGCAAGCATCGCGTGGGTAGGGGGGCAAAGAAGATCTAGAGAAGAATCTTTGTTGAGGTGTAACAAGACGGAAACGGAGAAAGTGAAGCTGAGAGCAGGGCAGAAATGTCTCCACAGTTGAGATTTTTGTTGGCCACCTCGGTAGTTTTCCCAGAAGGAAGCTGCGGCGGACACTACAGAAGCCCCCTGCGCTAATATGTCTCCTGCCCCATGCAGATGGTTACGACAAAAGAGGAAAGGGGTGGGAAGGGGTGGACAGAAACGGAAAAAATGCACGTGAAAATGGGCTTGACGGTTGCCCCTGCCCTATTTTGGCATTCATCCCCGGGACCACCACAGTGGATAAAAACTTGCGCTTTCTGCGCCCAGACGCAAGTGCTATGTTGTCGATTGGGCCCTTCCTGCGCAGCGGCGTATCTCTGGTTTTGTTGGGGATGGTGCGGGGCATGTTTGACTCTTGCCTTCTCCTTTTTCACACGGCGGTGGGAAGAAGGCAAGGGACGTTTCTACGGCAAAGCAGGCTTGCAGCTGTGCAGTGGTACTTTCCAGTGACAAAACGTTTTAGACTTGGTCGTGCCTTCTGTGCCTCCAGAAAAATTATAGAGGAATGGAAATCCTAAGCACAAAATCCAAAAACAGAAACGACCAAGCACCGGCGATTGCAGGTTGTAAGATACAGATTAAGAAGGAGCGTTCCGCAAGGTGAACCAAGGCGTGAGTTGTGGTTTAGGCTCTTTTGGGCAACAGCAGCCAGCATGTCAGCAACAGGAGGAAAGAGCGACGAGCGACGGTGAGAAACGCCAGGAAGACGGAAAGCGCGGGGCCGGACAGAGTGTGTGGTAACTCGACGGGGCCCTGGCTGTAAGTCGCAGTTTCCTATTGGCCAATTCGCACTTTCCCAACAGTTTTTTTTTTATCAACTTTTTTCACCTCAAAAGTTCCAAATATGGAAGGCAACACTGGGGACGGCATGGGAAAGGCTGATAAAGAAATGCACCATATGGCCTAGAAATGAAGCAACGACAGGTTGTTTTGCTGATCATGTGAGAGCAACCCAAACATCGATTGCTTCTTTGCTGACTACTGAATATGCTTCAGAAGCTCAAGAAAGTAGTAGCGACTCCTAGACCTTCGACAACAACTTGTTTTGGATGCAGCCAGGGACTGAGGAGAGAGATGCGGTGGAATGGTACTCTGTACTGGCGCCTCGACTGCCGATGAAACATGGCGATTACGGAAGCCCGTTTCCCGTCACCAATCTGATGCTCTGCCGTAATTCTTTTTTTTTTTTTTTTTTTTTTTTTTTTTTTCTACGACGCAATTTATCGAGGCTTCTGCGTCAATAGGCAGCCAAAGAACGTGTTTGTTTCAGTAATTTTTGTCGCAAAACATGGACAGACCGGGATAATGTTAATGGGAACCAAGTCGTGTTGGGTCGCGATTACCTCGCAGGTCCAACTCTTCCTGGCTCTGGAATGTTTCCCGGATCTCGTAGAAGCAGGCAGGGTAGGAGCGACTGGAAAATTGCCAGTTGCTTCGTCGAACCCTGGTACGGCAATCATGGCCGGCCGTTGCTTCCCCAGTGTTACTGAGCAGAAAGTCGCACCTTCTGTCACAGGTATCTTAAGCCTCGCCTTGCTCCATTGCTTGAGACAAACAAGACCGAGCACCCAACAAAAAACAGCTTCAACCTCCTAGTTCTGGCACCGATTTTCTCGGACCCATTCTACTTGCAGGCGAGCTGCAGAGAGAAAACGTAAGAACGACGTAAAACGTTGTCGATTTGGCACTTGAGAATTCGCCTCATCTAGCCGCCAGAACACCATCGGCGCTGGGGCAAGAAACAACGACTCCACTGCGTCCTTGGACAGGTATCTGTATTTTCCGGCGGTCGGTCACAGTTCATTACGGTTGGTTCAATTGCCAGACGGTCGTGCTTTCCTAAGAGCTTTTTATGACTTTGGTCCTTGGCTCTTGCTCTCTTTGTAAATAGCACATGCCGCTCGCTGCTTCCCCATCCTTCGTTCTTTCTTATTTGAATGTTGTTTTGGTTTCACCCATTGTTGTCCTTCCTACCTTGTTGTCGACGAGATCTGCTTAGCAGTTGTTCTTCGCTTAGCATATCCAGCTCGCTCCCCCAAGTCTCCTCTTCTCCTTCTTCTCCTCCGTTTTTGCACCAAACTCGCGAGAACGACCACATCGCACGTCGTGTGCCTTTTTTTCAACCTCTGTCTGGCACGCTGGCATTCCCAGTCCTCGTCGCTCTTCCTGCTTCATTTTACCCCTCTTCGTCTCAATACCACCGCCCTACATTGGCCTTCCTGTGTCTTTCTTCCTTTAGCCTCGCTTTTCAAATACTCTGACGCACAGACGTCCTCCTTTCCGTTTATTTCGTGTCGAATATTTTCTTGTGTGCTCAGTTGCAAACCGTCGACATGGCTGCTTCACAGATTATCGCGAAGCTCCCTAAGCTCTCATACTTCCGTCTTCCTCCCAGCTCTGAACCGGCTTTTCTTCCACTGCCACAGCCGGGCTCGCTGGCCTACAACCCCCCATTCCAGATCTCGGATAGCTTCTATGCGGCGGCCCTTGACATCCGCGTGCCTCTAACCATCGCGGCCGTCTACGCTGTCACGGCCAAGCTGCTCAACAAGTACAACAAGTCCACCAACCGCCGCCCCTGGGCCATTAGCCAGACTAAGGCCTTCTTTGCCTTTGTTGTTGCTCACAATATATTCCTTGCCGTCTACTCTGCATGGACCTGGATCGGCATGGTCAACATGCTCCGCCGTACCCTCGCCAATCCCTTTGCCAACACCGGCGACCCGAGCACTAGCGGCTGGGCTGCCACCGTCGACAGCATCTGCCGGATGAGCGGTGCTCCTGGCCTGGGCAACGGACTTGTCTACCACGAAGCTTCTGGCGTCTGGCTGACCCAGTCGAGCCCCATTTCGCCCGAGTTTGCTCTCACTCCTGACCGCAACCAGCCCGGCCGCATGTGGAACGAGGGTCTCGCTTTCTATGGCTGGCTGTTCTACCTCAGCAAGTTTTACGAGGTTCTCGACACTTTTATCATTCTTGCCAAGGGTAAATACAGCTCGACTCTTCAGACCTACCACCACGCCGGCGCCATGATGTGCATGTGGGCTGGGATGCGTTACATGAGCGCTCCTATCTGGATGTTTGTGTTTATGAATTCCTTCATCCACACCCTGATGGTACGTATTCCTTTGATCTCTATCCATGCTTTCTCTCTCCCTCCCTCTCTGTATCCTTTTCACTTTCAAAGACTAACAGCCTCATAGTACAGCTACTTCACGTTCACGGCCTTCTCTGTCCGTGTTCCCACCAAGGTGAAGCGGTCGCTGACTTCGGCTCAAATTACCCAATTCCTTGTCGGTGCCTCAGTCGCCATGTCTCACTCTTTCATCGGATACACTGTTCCCGCCACCCAGGCGCCCGGCCATGACAGCGATATCGTGGCTAGCCCCAACAGGGCGGCCAACTCCACCTCTCCCCTGGCCGGTCGCGCTGCTCCGACTCCTCTCAAGGCCATATCATGCATTGCGACGTCTAGTGAGACATTTGCGATCTGGCTTAATGTTCTGTACCTCGCACCCCTGACGTATCTCTTTGTGAAGTTCTTTGTCACGTCTTACCTCGCTCGCAGCAGTGCGGAGAGCACTCGCTCTGCAGTTGGCAAAGGCAAGGAAGGAGTTGATGGCACCATTGAGTCTAAGACACGCAAGTCGCCTGCTGCGTCTCCCAATGCGCCTGCCAGCCTTGTCGCCTCTATTGCTACGACCGAGGAAGAGGTTCGCCGTCGCCTGAGCAACGTCGGCAACCTTGCCGAGAAGGCTGGCTGGGACGCGGCTATTGGCCTCGAGAAGGAGGTCTACGGAGTCTCTGCCGAGGCCATTGACACAGACGACTCCCACGACAGCCCTGCCGCACCGGCACAGAGCAATTCCAACAAGTCGAAGACCAAGCACAGCAAGTAAAGGCCGCCACAGTCGACCAGCTGCGTTGATATGATCATGAAGCCGTTGTTCGTCTCTCCTCATATTATGTCTTTAAGGAGCCCGACGGACATCCTATGAATTAGCCAGAAGGTGAACACCTGTACTGATCTTGCGACGGGAACCGGGGGGGTGTTGGACGGATAAAAAACAGAAGTTGAGAGTGTTGTGTTTTGCTTTCACGAAAGGAATATTTCATAGTCAAACCGGAGTTTGGAAGGGCGTCTTTTGTATTTATGGGGCCTCTGTGGAAACATTGCGTAAAGGCCATGCCTACAACATTAGTCACTAAATTAGAATTTTTATACTTCATTCTCTGCAAAGAAATGATTTTAGCTACACACGAAGTGAGAGGCAGTAAATTGTGATGCACTCAAAGACCGTATTATTGGATATGCTCATCCGTTTATGGTATACTGTGTCAGTACGGCATGCAGTGGTACATTTATATACCCCGAAGATGTGTTCACGAGAAATGGATCAGAAGCTAATTGAAACTTTTGTTTTCATATTTGAGGATACTTTCCGAGGATCAGATAGACTGCAATAAGACTTGATCCATCAAACCCTGTTGAGGCAAATTTGTGTCATTCCATGACCAGTTCTGTCACACCTTTTTGTGGCTCATTCAGCCCATATTGTCCGTTGTACTCCGTTCTCCTTTTCCTTCGCCACCCCCGAATCCTTTCCGCCTAACAAGAACACAGAACAAGACGCCGGACAAAACAGCCGAAATCACATTAAGGACATTTTGAAAGCATCAAAGACATGGAGGCCGAATAAAAGCAGGTGAAATAAGAAAATAAAAATCAGATAAAAGGACAGTATACTTGAACCCTTCATTAAGAGATATCCGCGAGAAGACAAGAGAAAACAAATACACGAGAGATAAAAACAACAGATAGACAGATAGCCATTGCCCTTGAAAACGCCGCCAGAGGTAGATAAGAAAAATGGTACTATGAGTAAAAAGGCGAGAGGCACGTCCGATGGGCTCTCGAATTTTTTGTCGAGCAATCCAGCAGGAGACATGCAGCCATGGGCGGGATAAATAGGCATAGGGGGATAAAGCGAGACAGAGGGAGGGGTTGGCGCTGTCGCTGGGATAATGCTGGTTTGCTGCAAGAGGCATTGCGAAGCCACGTCGTTTTCGTTTCTTGTGCTTGTTCTCTTCACCCACCCTAGCCTCCGTATTTGCTCCGCAACCAGTCGCATACCAGAAACAAAACAGGTTGAGTCAAGCCATGCAAAGCAAGACGTCACTAGCGCCTTCACGGTTGTGATCTTCAATGCGTTTTGTCAACACCGACAGTTCCAGCCTGCAGTCGACTGACGTGGAAACAAGATAGTGAAAGCAGGAGTGGGGAAAGCGAAGAGGAAACAGGCGAGCAGGTAACATTGCATCATGACGAGGAAGCAGCGACGAAAAGACGATGAAAATTGGAAGAAAAAAAAATTCATAACATGAAGCCGACCAGAACGAGTTTGGAAAGACAAAAAGATAAAACGAAGGAAATGTTTGGTATCATCAAAAGGAGAAGTGAGAAAACCGGTGATCGCACCTAGAGCTTGTCTGTCACCTCTCCATATTCACCTGCCAAACCCGACCTCAAATCAAATGAGAGGGAGTTGGTGTGTGGCAAGAACAACCCGCTTAGTTCTTCTCCTCGGCCTTGGCCTTCTCGCCCTCCTCGGCGGGAGACTGGTTCTTGACGTACTCCTGGTAGACGCCAAGAGCCTCCTCGACCTTGGACTTCAGAGCAGCCTCGTCGTCAACCAAGTGCACCAGCTCCTGGTTCTCCATCTCCAGAAGCATACCGGTGATCTTGCCAGCAAGCTCGGGCTGCAGGGCCTGGATCTTGGGGAAGATGACCTCACCCAGAATCTGCTTCTGCTGCTGCGGGTTGTTGCCGACGTTGTTCAGCTGCGCCTGGAGCAGAGCAGCCTGGCTCAGTTCCGGGCCGGCAGCGCTGGGAGCCGCCACGTTCTGGCCGCCGCGGCCACCCTGGGGGCCGTTAAAGCCGCCACGGCCACGACCGCCGTTCTGACGGGTCGAGGGAGGGAAGCCAGGCAGGCCAGGACCGCCGAGATTGTTACCGTGAATGCCCGGGATGGGGCCACGGCCGCCAGCCGGAGCACCACCGCGGCCAACGGTCTGCTGCACCTGCTGCATGGCAGCCAGGTACTGGGCGTTGTTGGGACCGTTGTTGAACGGAACGCCAGGGGGGAACTGGCCCGGCAGGTACATGTTAGGGGGCAGCTGCTGGGGAGGAATACCGCCACGGCCGCCTTGGGGGAAGCCACCGGGGCCGAACTGGCCAGGGCGGCCGCCGGGAATGCCCATGCCACCCTGGGGGAAGCCCATGCCACGGCCACCAGTCTGGGGTAGGAAGCCTTGCTGCTGGTTGGGCTGGTAGAAGACCTGGGGCTGCATGTAGGACTGGGGCATACCGGCCACGGCAGCAGCCTGCTGCATACGCAGGGTGTTGCGGGCCTGGATGCTGGCTTCCAGTTGGCTCTTGCGAACCTCCTTCTTCTGCGCAATAGCAACGTACAGCGGCTTGCCGTTCACCATGCGCTGGTTCATCTCCGTAACGGCCTTAGTGGCATCGTCGGGGTTGCTGAAGCAAACGAAGCCGAAGCCCTTGCTCTTGCCGAGCTTGGGGCCCTTGGTGGCCTTGTCCTCAGTAGCGGCATCGCCCTCGGCAGCCTCCGTCTTGTCCTCGGCGGTCTCCTCCTCCTCCTTCTCGTCCTTGGTCTCCTTGGCGGCCTCCTCCTCGCCCTCGGCCAGCGTCTCGCGCATGACCTTGGCAGAGGTGATGGGGCCGTAAGGAGCGAACAGCTCACGGAGCTTCTCGTCATCGACCTCGTCATCAAGGTTCTTGATGTACAGGTTGACGCCGACGTACTTGCTGGCCTTCTCCTGGCGAGCGGCCTCATAAGACTTGCGGAGTTCTTCCTCACGCTCGTGTTTCTTCTGAGCACGGCCAACGTACAGCTCCTGACCGTGGAATTCCTGCTCGTTCAGCTCAGCCACCGCAGCGGCCGCAGCCTCGTGGGCAGTGAAGTTGATGAAGCCGAAACCACGGCTCTTGCCAGTCTCCTGGTCACGGGCAATGGTCGACGAGGTGACCGTGCCGAACTTCTCGAACAGCTCGCGGAACTCCTCATCGGTGACGTCAGGGTTCAGGTTCTTGATGTAGATGTTGGTGTAGTTGGCCTTCATCTCCTCGAACTTGCTCTGGCGGTCCTTCTTGGGGATGTGATGACCGACGTACACCTTCTTCTCGTTCAGAAGCATGCCATTCACGTTCTTGATGGCCTGCTGCGCGGCCTCATCGGTCTCGTAGTGCACGAAACCGTAGCCCTTGGAGGCACCGTGCTCGTCCTGGGCGACCTTGCAGCTCAGGATGTTGCCGAAAGCGGCAAACGTGTCGTGCAGGGCCTTGTTGTCGATGGCAGCATCGAGGTTCTTGATGAAGATGTTGCCCTGGCCGGTCTTGCGAAGAGCAGGGTCGCGCTGCGACCACATGATGCGGCAAGGGCGGTTCTTGATGAGGGTGTAGTTCAGCTCCTCGAGGGCCTTCTCGCCATCGGGAGTGCTGTTGTAGTTGACGTAGGCGTAGCCCAGCGAGCGGCGGGTCACGGCATCACGGCAAACGCGGATCGAGGCAACGGGGCCAATCTGCGAAAACAGCTCGAAGAGCATGGCCTCGGTGACGGACTCATCGAGCTCGCCAACATACAGTGAAGCAGAGGCCTGCTGATGAGCGGCCGCCGAGCTGGGGGTAGGGCCGGCAGCATCGAGGTCGGTGGCTTCACCGACGTTGGTGTTGATAGCGGGGGCAGCCTTTTCGCCGCCGTTGAGGGAGGTGTTGTTGAGCTCGTTGGCGAGCTGGTCGACCGAAGCAGAGGGAGCAGCCATTTTGACGGTTTGGTTGAGTGCGAAAGGAGAGTCTGCGTACGTGCGAAGATATGATGTTAGCAATGGTGTCTAATATGAAGACAAATGTACTCGAGGATTTTAGAATGCTTCCACCAAGTTACAGCAAACTGGAAGATGCCACAATGCGAAACAAGGGCAGTGAAAAAGATCGCGGAAACGGCAGACGACGGGAACGGACAAGTGCCTGCGCAGCGAACAAAGAGCCAAAAACGGCACCCAGACAAAGACTGTTGGAGGGGAGCAGTGCGGCGTACCTGTTAAGAGAGAGTCGAAATGTGGTGCAAGGACTGGTTTCTGGTCTTGAGAGACTTGAGTTTGACAATTCCGTTCGGCTGGCGAGATGGAATATCGTGACTTTTTTTGGTTTCCGTGGAAATTAGCTGGACGGAAGTTGGTTTGGATTTTGGATTTTTGAACGATTTTCAATTTTTTTTTGTGATTTGAGCAGTGAAATGCAGTGTTGAGAACAGAAATCAAGTACGGTGAAGTACTGTCAAATCGTGTTCTCTTTTGATTGTGGGCGTTTGGGTTTTTGAAAGGTGGTTGACGAGGGAGAAAGGAAGAGGTGAGAGGGGAGAGAATTTCATCGTCGCGCTTTTAGTTTTAGGTATCTCAATTTTTTTTTCACTTAATTTTTTTCTGCCCTGCCCATTCATCTCAGCGCAGAAATTGGCTTGTGTAGGCTTATGTAATTCTTGTTGTGGAGCTACGAAATGAGGGTTGGTTGGGAAAGAACTGCTAGGCGGTGTGGCACGTCACCATCACACCTCCCATTCTCAGCGATATCAAAGCACAGATATCGCCACGTGACTGGCAATCGCTGTCGTTCTTTCCTTTCAGAACCAGCAAAAAAGGAGGCGGGAAGGCGCAACCGTAACTGTTTCTTGTTTATGTTACTTTTCTATTTATGACAAGGAGGGTCTCGAGAAACAGCTCTCACGGTTGGGTTCATCGCTCTTGCAGCCAGGTTAAATTAGCAGTGCTGGGCTTTCGTGCTGCCCGTTTTGATGAAGAAGGAACGGACTGGCCGGCATTGTGCCGCCACCGTGTCACTTATTTCAACGGTTATTTCTTGTTTACGAGCCAGCAGTCTCTCCTTCCTTACGGCCTTCCGTCCCCTTCGTTCCTGCTGCAGAAAAGCTCATCGCTTCCGACGAGAAGGGACATTGCACATCGCACACATGCCATGTGGAAGGTACGACGACGTGGGATCCCGCCGATGTATTACAAGGAAATTACACTCCGTGCAACCAACGTCGTAGGAAAAGCTCTTTCAAATTAGCGAGGCAAGAACGTTCGCCGCCCTTCTCTTGCCTCGCCTCGTGGAGGCAACAAGGCTGGCCGCACACACGGAAGGTGCCAATTCCCTATTCCCTCTTTCCCGGTGACGTTCACTAGAAAGCGCTGGCGAGGCCTGAGCGACACAACAGCTTAGCGCCTCCTGACTAACGCTGGACCTCTCACTTTGAGTGTGGTGAACTTTCTAGAACGCGACAGCCAATTCTTACCTATCAGGGACAAGTGGGTGCCAGCCGCAGCTTCCCGTAGTTAGGAGCACACTGCCTTCTGCCTGGCTGCAAAGTACCATGTGCCAGGGCGGCTTTATCTGCCTAACAAAAAAATCAGGTAGTCGCTTCCCGTTTTGTCAACCCGTCCTCCTTCCCAATAATCAGTAATCGTCTTCTCAACCTCGACATTCTCACATTGCAGTCACAAATCGACTCCTACAAATCTCGTTGCTCTGTAGGACAGCATTACATCTTCGACAGCGCTCGAGGACGCCTCTACGACTCCCCGTCGCTCCGATCCGAATTGACATATTGTTCTCGAGCTAGGACCCCGCGCTTGCACCATCATTCAGCCCTTACGGTGGCTGCAAACGAGCTGCAGTGTTTCTTGATCGTCAAAACACGCAAGAAAACAGGCCGTAGCAGCCATGTTCCCGACATTCTCTGGAAATTCTAGACGCCTACGAAACGTTAACCTCAGCGGCCAGAGGCACACCAACCCGTTCACAGCGCACTCGCTATCTCCAGGGACCGGCTCTGGCGCTTCCAAGACCGTCGCAGATGCCCAGGCCGGCCGCCGGCAACGCCAACAGGAACGTGAGGAGCTCAAGGCCGCACGATCGATCCAGCGAACATGGCGTGGCCACCGAACGAGACGGCAAGTGAAGGCGGGGCGGCGGCAAGCTCTAACTGAGCTGTTTGACTCTTCGACCTCTATGACGTCCGAGGAGCGGATCCCGCGAGCCTTCCCACTCCTGCTCTCGTCCTTTAACGTTCGAGAGGAGGGCGACTTACAGCTGCTTTTCTTGTTTGCCAATGATCTGGCACAGACAGACTATGCAGCTCTCACAAACGGGCAGCTCCCACAGGCAAGGCTCTGGCACCTTGTGCACATCCTCGTGTTGGCATTGGACCAAGACCAGTACGTTGCCGCATTTCCCATTCACTCTCACGAAGATCTCTATTCTGTTTACTAAATATTCATTCTCCTTACAGAGCGCAAAAAGAATCCTCACAGTCCCTCTTCGACCTTCTTATCTGCATCGTCCAGTTGCGGCCACATGCTCTCCTCAACAGCCTCAAAGCATACTACAAAATGCTCGCCAAGTTCTATTGCATGGGTGCGGCTGCCCTCGGCGAAAACACGGCGTCCTATTTACAAAAATCTCTTTTGGTGCCTCTGTTGGCTGCTGGTTCAACACCGGAAACATTTACCCAACGAGCCTACCTCGAGTTCGCGGCGTCTTTTCTTACGCAGCCCATTGTTCTGTTGGAAAATACTGTTGCCTCCCTCTCTCAACACATTAGCCTTGATGTCCTATCCCGAGCTGTGATTGATATTTATGAGACCGCGGCAAATAAACCAAGCCGCAGTGCCGACGAGTTGCTTTGGCTTCTTGCCCACGTTGTTGATTTTCAGAGGCGGCTGATCGGGGCGAGCCAGGGCTCGCCCCTGTACCTCCGAGCCATCTACACACAGCTTTCGTTCCTGAATGGCGATGTGCGGTTGCAGTTCGCTAGTGGCCGCATGTCGGAAGATAAAACGCCCCAGGAAGAGTATCTGGCAGCCCAGATCAGGTCCCTGGTCAATAAGGAGGAAATTACAAAGCTCCTTGAACGGTTCACGGCCAGCCAAGCGAGCTCTTCTGGTCAAGACTATGCAAGTCTACTCGCCGGATATGCTGTTGTACTCATTCGGTGCTTTCCAGACAAGGGAGACGACATTCGCATGCAGTTCTTCTTGGCCGATCTTCCTACAAAGTCTGGGCCCGTGCCGGCGGTGCGCTTTTTTTGGGAGGCGTCCAGTGCAACCTCACTTTTTGGCCAAGTGCTCAAGTCTCCGAAAACAACCTTGGACTATTTATTGCAGCGGAAACGCTCTCGCACGGCCGCGATGAGTACTTCAACATCGCAAAGCGAATCGACATGGGATCGAGAGTGGCGCACTGTGCTTTTGTTCCTCGAGCTCTACACGTTTGTGTTGAGACTTACAGACGATGACGACTTCTTCTCTGGATTTTCCAACCTGACGTCTCCTTTCAGAGAGACTGAGAAGCAGCCTGGCTCGCGGCTCCGGTCTTCTGCGTTGTCCCTGGATGCGCTAAAGTCTCTGACTTTGTTCCTGAAGAATCTGTCCTTCACACTTCTTTACAACGCGTCGGATCTGCTGCAAAGTGATTCTTCGGATACTGTCTTCCAGCCGTCTTATTCAACCAAATCCAAGCGCTCTGACGAGGTCGGCAATTACTTTGTCGTGCCGGGCCTGGAATTTCGTATGTTCAAGACCATTGTGACGACGGCGATCCAAATGCTGTACGAGCGCGACTCTCGGCGCCAGTTTCTCCCACCTGGCCACTGGCACATGACCTCGCATTTTGATATGGCACAGTTTGTACCTGCTGTCGTTACCGAGGAGCAGCGACAGCACGACCTACAGCATGCCGGTGATGGCAGCGGGAATGAGGACGTGGACATGGACGATGACGACAGTGAAGACGACAACATGGAAGAGCACACGCACACGGCGACGTCCCGCACATTTGCACGCACATCCCGATACGCGATGCTGGAGAGAATGCGACGCCAGCGCGAAAAGTCGACCCGCGAGCGGCAGCTGGCGACGATCGGACCAAAACTTGAAATTCTGCGAAACATGCCCTACATTCTTCCGTTCGAGGCGCGTGTGCGGATCTTCCGGGAATTTGTCCAGCTCGACAAGTTTCGGAGGCGGGAGGGATTCACCGATCCCGATTCATGGCGTGCGCACATAATGAACCAGCACGGTGGCTGGGGCGAGAACAGCCCTGCACGGGATATCGTTGCGCGCCATAGTGGACGGATTCATCGAGATGCGATCTTCGAGTCGGCCTTGCAAGATTTCTGGGAGCTTGGCGAAGGTCTGAAAGAACCTATCCAGATCACGTTTATTGACGAATACGGCAACGAAGAGGCCGGCATTGATGGTGGTGGCGTGACGAAGGAATTTCTCACTTGTGCCCTTATGCAGGTGCTTTCTCAACAAGACGAAATTTTCTCTGCGAACAAGGAGAACGCAATCTATCCCAACCCGACGAGGCTTGACCAGCTGAAGGTGAGGCTGCAGAAGCATGGCCTCACGGAGGGGACGGAAGGTTGGGACGACAGGATTGCATACCTGATGCGCACCTACGAGTTCATTGGACGGATGATTGGCAAGTGCTTGTATGAGGGCATCCTTATTGACTTTGTGTTTGCGGGATTCTTCTTGTCGAAGTGGGCCCTATCAGCGACGGACTCGGTATACCGGGCCAACATCAACGACCTGCGCGAGATGGACGAGCAGCTGTACGAGGGTATGCTGAAGCTGAAGAACTATGACGGCGACGTGGCCGACCTAGACCTAGACTTTACGATCGAGGACCAGATCTCCAGCAACAACGAGCGGCTGCAGACGGAGACGCGCAACCTCGTGCCCAACGGCGACAAGCTGCGTGTGACCAACGAGAACCGCCCGCTGTATATTTCCTACGTGGCGCGGCACCGACTCATGGCGCAGCCGTATCTGGTGACCAAGGCGTTTCTGCGTGGCCTGGGCACGATCATTGACCCGGTTTGGCTGCGCATGTTCAACCAGAACGAGCTCCAGCGGCTCGTGGGCGGCGACTCGTCCGAGATTGACGTGGATGACCTGCGGCGCAACACGATCTACGGCGGCCTCTATGTCATCGGCGACGACCACGAGGAGCACCCGACGGTCAAGCTCTTTTGGGACGTGGTGCAGTCGCTGCCGGATGATGACCGGCGGTTGCTGCTCAAGTACGTGACATCGACGCCGCGCGCGCCGCTGTTGGGATTCTCGCAGCTCAGCCCCAAGTTTAGCATTCGCGACGGGGGTAACGATGAGGCGCGGCTGCCGAGCACAAGCACGTGCGTTAACCTGCTGAAGCTGCCGCGATACTCGACGGAGGAGACGTTGCGGGACAAGCTGTTATATGCGATCCGGTCGAACGCGCGGTTCGATCTGAGCTGAGGTGAGCGTTGGATTGTTATTGGGAAGGTATTGACCTTAGTATGGCTATGTCGCTTGACGAATGTTATGTTTTTATGTTCTGGCATCGTCCATGTCTTTTTTTAAAAATCTGTCGTTATTTTTCTTTTCCCTTTGCCTTTATGTCTTTTGTCGTTTGCCATTTTGCCACTTTGTCAATTGTTACTGCAAACGTCTGGAGCGAGTTTTCCGCCATCGACATAGCAACTGCATCTAAATCTATATCATGTTAATAAATAAAAATTAAAAAAAGGCTTTGTGCGTTGGTCGTTCTATGGGCGTCAGGACGCAAACAGATATTGGACGGCGGACAGGTACGAAGTACATTTGCCCTTGGCCGTGAACTTTAATAAGCCAAGACACTTTCCCACAAGACTTTATCCGGCGGGCGCGACGAGAGCTCTGCAGGGCAGCTACCATAAGCAATTACAGGGTGTTTATTAGTGGGCCCAGGTAGTGTAGTTTGGGGGCGGCGCGCCGGTATGGGGCACTCCGAATTGTAGCATTGGCGATCAGCTAAAAGACGTTCGAAATTCGAAATTCGAAAAATAACGGACCGGGTTCTTTTCCATTTTCCACTCCGGGAACGATGCCGACGGTACACGGCATTTCGCAGTCGTGAGGCGCTTCCATTGGTTTTGATACGACCTTATAACAACCACGCACCGTCCTTGAATCTTTGGTGTTGCATTCGCCGCTGTCTGCGCAATGGTTTTCACGTGAAAGGGGCTAAAGGAGAGACGACACACGATCAATTTCGAAAGGCACCCCAAAGAGGCGTCCGCGATCGACGGCGTACGACAAAAAGAAACGCAGAGGATCTCGCCAATCGTGACCATGGTTCGGCTCGGACGAGTCGTCGGTGTGGCTGTAGCGGCCGCAGCGGCTGTGGCGCCAGTCTCTGCGCAACCATCCGGCGACGACAGCCATGAGAGCCATGGCAGCCTTGACAGCAACGGCAGACAGTCGAAAAGGGACGGGGTCGATAGCGTCGGCTGCCCCGACTACACGTCGTACGCCACCAGCCGCGACCACCAGCCTTTTTCGGGCGGCCGCTTTAACCTGCCGTACCAGCGGCCGCCGCCCGAGTGCCGGCGATTCAAGGCGCCGGAGGTGGAGGACACGATTGACGCGATGCGCAAGCTTGTGCGCGACCCCGACCTGTTTCGGCTGTTTGAGAACTGCTTTCCCAACACGCTCGACACGGCGATTGCATGGCACGGTGTCGGAGCCGGCACGACGGACGAGGAGCTGACGTTTGTGACGACGGGCGACATCAACGCCATGTGGCTGCGGGACAGTGCGAACCAGCTGCAGTCGTATAGGTCGCTTCTGCGGCCAAAGGGCAAGAAGGGCAAAAAGGACACAAAGGACGACGAGGGACTGTCAACGCTTGCCTCCCTCTTCCGTGGCACAATCAACCTGCAGGCGCGCTACATCCAGAACTCGCCGCACTGCAACGCCTTCCGGCCGCCGGTCGAGAGCGGCCTGACCGTGACGGGCGGGTTCGGCGGCGGCGACGTTGTGTACCCGCCCGTGGCGCACGACGTGGTGTTTGAGTGCAAGTACGAGCTCGACTCGCTGGCGGCGTTTTTGCAGCTGTCGTACGACTACTACGCGGCGACCGACGACGGGGCCTTTTTCGGCAAGGTGTACCGTAAGGACGGCGATGACGGCGATGACGGCAATGACGGCAATGACGGCGACGACAGCGAGTTCCGCAGCACGTGGGTGCTTGCCGTGGAGGCCATCATGGCGACGGCCGAGGAAATGACCAAAGGCACGTACGGCGCCGACGGGCGGCCGCAGTTCTCGCCGTACCAGTTCCAGCGGCCGACAAGCGTCGCCACGGAGACGCTGCCCAACGGCGGTGCCGGTCCGCCGGTGCAAGGCGGCACGGGCATGGTGCGCAGCGCGTTCCGGCCGTCGGACGACGCCTGCACGCACCAGCTGTTTGTGCCGGCCAACATGATGCTGGCGCGCTATCTGGCGGCGTGTGCGCCCATCATGGCGCAGCTGGGCCGCGGCCAGGCGCCGGCCAAGACGGATTCGTTGCGAGAAAGCCCCCTGGTGGACGCTGCTGCCGTTGCCGACGACGACTACAGCAACTACCGGCAGGGCCACCGCTCGCGCTACTTCCACGAGCTCGCGCTGCGCATGACAAATTTTGCCGCGACAATTCGCGTCGGCATTGAGCGCCACGGCCGCGTGGCCCACCCGGTCTACGGCGACGTCTACGCATACGAAGTCGACGGGTTTGGCTCGCACAACCTGATGGACGACGCCAACATTCCGTCCCTGCTCAGCGCCCCCCTCCTGGGCTACGTCGACCGCCACGACCCCGTCTACCGCAACACGCGCCGCCTCGTCCTGAGCCGCGCCAACCCCTACTATATGACGGGCCCCGTGCTCAACGGCACGGGCGGGCCCCATGTCGGCACGGGCATGGCCTGGCCCATGAGCTTGGTGGTGCAGATCATGACGACCGACGACGACTACGAAATCGCGGCGGCGCTGCGGCAGCTGGTGTCGTCGACCGACGGCCTGGGCCTGATGCACGAGTCGGTCAGCAGCCACGACGAGAGCGCCTGGACGCGCCAATGGTTCTCCTGGGCCAACGGCCTGTTTGGCCAGATGCTGCTCGATCTGCGGGACCGCAAACCGCATCTGCTGGCAACGAGTTTTCAGTAGTGGAGTGGTGCGGGCTCAAGGTTCAAGACGACGACACATAGCATGAGGCCGGGATTTTGGGCACAAATGGCTGAGAAGTAAAGGCGTTTGGCGTTACGACGGATTTAATTACTATACTATGAGAAAAGCCTCATCAGTCTGGGGTAATAATTACAGTGCTGTTATTCCGGTAGCTTTATGTGCTATGGGGTAGTGACGATGGACGGCAGCAGCCAATTCAGCCGAGAGTCGACAGCTTAAATTGCATGGCCTTACTTAATCACTATTGGACAGCCACAGCGTATTAACGCATCGCTCCCGGCTCTCCGCCCCCATAGCGGTCGATTTACGGTTGATTTAAGCATGTGGTTACCCCTGCAGGGCTAGTGGTGGTCCACGGGCTAGATGTGGAAAGAGCGGACAACTCTAAAAGGAAGGAGCAATAGAGCTAGACTATGGAATGCGTGTGAAGCTAAAAGGCGACGAAAATGGGGCAAAAGAGACGACAGAAAAAGAACAGGCACGATACTTGAACAACAACACGACACATAGGTCAAACAGGACCAGGCAGAACAACTCACGGACAGGGTCACACTGTCGGACAGTCGGCAGAGAGCGTCTTGGCAGTCGAACAGCCCGTTGCAGATTGCACGAGGATGTCCTCCATAAGCCAGAAGGTCTGACGCCGTAAAAGGCCAAGAACTGTGGGGAAGCTTCACAATTCATGTACGAAGTAATTACGACGAATGTTGCAGAGTGCCTTTTGTGTCTTTAAGAGCTCCAGGCCGTCTGGCGTCACTTCTCGCTTGCCGAGAGGTGGCATTCCCGAAGGAGACACCGGATTCAATGTCTCTCTGTATTCTTGTCGATTTGTTCCCGTGCAAGTCTCTCGCCTCCGTCCTCGTTCTTTGGCATACCGACCGGAATCGAGAAACAGCTGTCCTTTCCAGACCGCCTGCGCACGTTTATTGCCAAGCGTTCGGTGGTTCTTGTTACCGTTGAATTTCATTTCATTTCGAGTATTGCATTCTTACTTCCTTCCCTTTATTCTTCCATCGCCGGAGTCCCTCGCGCTTTCCTTCCCTTCCCCCTTGCCCTCCTTCGCTCTTTCTTTTGCTTTTCCTCTTGCCCCGTGTTTGCGTTGTCGTCTTTCGCTCCTTCCTCGAGTGTTCGAGTGTGTCTCTGTCCCACACTCCACGATCTCCACTCCTCGCGGCTCACTCCTTCCCGGCCACGTCGTATGGCCGCCCCCCCCCCTGTCTCACCCCAAGATATGCCCGTGTGAGCCAGCGGCGCTCTTCGCTCCCTTCCACCTCTCTCCCGCCCCATCGAGGGCATGTCGACGGCGGTGTCGTGGGAGCAAGACACCACGCACTAGACACCCACCAGCGAGATAGTCCGACAGCCAATCGCCAGCATGTCGTTTATCCGGGTCATTGGCCGTCGCCGCAGCCGACTCGGCATGCTCGTGCTCTTTGCCTTTTGCGTGCTGATGCTGCTTCCGACGCCTCGACACGAGCTTGGCAGCGCCCTTTACTTTGTCCTCTTCTCGCCGTCCGGCCACCTGCCGCTGTCGACGTTCTCCTCGTCGTTCCAGGGCTCATCGTCTTCCTTTGACGTCATCCGCTACATCAACCCGCTCATCGGCACCGTCAATGGCGGCCACGTCTTCCCCGGCGCCACTTTGCCCTATGGCATGGCCAAGGCTGTCGCCGACACCAACAGTCCCGCCGAGAATGCCGCCGGCTTCGTGTCCGACTACAGCGAGATTACTGGCTTCTCGCACCTGCACGACTCGGGCACCGGTGGCAGTCCGTCCATGGGCCAGTTCCCCATCTTTGTGCACCCCGGCTGCCCACAGAACGACTACAGCAAGTGCGAGTTCCCGGCCTTTCGGCGCGCCGTCCACCGCCGCAACAACACCGCCCGCGCCAGCCCTGGGTACTTTGCTATTGAGCTCAACAACTCGGTCAGTGCCGAGATGACGGCCACACAGCATGCGGCGCTGTATCGGTTTTCCTTTCCAGATGCCGTGGCAGCTGATGCGGCGGCTGCCAAGGCACCCAGAAGCCCCGGAACCCCCAGCGCAGCCACATCGCCTCCGTCTCTCCTCCAGCTGTGGTGCGGCGATGCCTACGTGCCGTATAGTCCACTGGTCTTGATCGACCTGTCAGACCTGGGCAACTCGCGTACAGGCGGCGGCATCCAGGTCTACCCCGACGGCCGCATCATCGGCGACGGCCGCTACCAGCCGTCTTTTGGCATGGGCCAGTACTCGGCCTTTTTCTGTGCTGACTTCCGCGGTGCTGCGATACGTAAGACGGGCGTCTTTGCCGGCACACGTGTCTCGGACGCCGTCAACTTTATTGGCAACTTGGGCGAGGGCTATTTCCGCGATCCCCGGGGCGCTGCCGGTGCCTGGATCCAGTTTGAGCCACCAGCTGCCGGTTCCGACCACACCATCACGGCCCGCGTCGGCATGTCGTTTATTTCGACGGACCAGGCCTGTGCCAACGCCGAGGCCGAGATCCCGGACTGGGACTTTGACGGCACGGTCCATGCTGCCCAAAACGCCTGGCGCGACAAGCTGTCGCCCATCCGGGTCGACGCCACCGGTGTGTCCTCGGCCATGCAGACCACATTCTGGTCCGGTCTCTATCGCTCGCTTCTGTCGCCGCAAAACTACACGGGTGAGAACCAAAAATGGGACTCGGACGAGCCCTACTTTGATTCTTTCTACTGCATCTGGGACTCGTTCCGCGCCCAGCATCCGCTGCTCACCATCATCGATCCACCCGCTCAGACGGAAATGGTGCGGGCCCTGCTCGACATTTTCCGGCATGACGGCAAGCTACCTGACTGCCGTATGAGCTTTTGTAAGGGCTACACACAAGGCGGGTCCAATGCCGACGTTGTCGTGGCCGATGCCTTTGTCAAGAACCTGACAGAGGGCATCGACTGGGCAACGGCCTATGCTGCGGTGGTGTCGGATGCGGAGGTCGAGCCGGGCTTCTGGGGCGTCGAGGGCCGCGGCAGCCTCGAGAGCTACCACGCTCTGGGCTTCATCCCCTGGAACGACAACGACGTCAACGGCACGGGGCCGATGAGCCGTAGCATTTCACGGCTGGTCGAGTACGCCTACGACGATTTCGTGATCTCCGAACTGGCCAAGGGGCTTCAAGCCTTGGGCGGGGTCAAGAGTACCATCACGCCGACGGGCCAACAAACACTTGGCCAAGCAACGTCAGCTGATCTGAGTTTCAACCCATCCCGCTTGGCCGTAGATGCCGACAAGTACCATGGCCGTGGCGCCAACTGGCGCAACCTTTGGAACGCCGAGCAGCGCGACCTATACCGCGATGCGCAGGACGAGATCGTACAGAGTGACTTTGTCGGCTTTCTGCAGCCCCGCCTCTTAAACGGCACCTGGCGCTACCACAACACGCGCCGCTGCAGCCCCGTCTATGACATGCACAGCTGTTACTACGATACGGCCTACGAGACCTACGAGGGCAGCCCGTGGCTGTACTCGTTTTACGCTCCGCAGGACATGCGCACGCTTGTGCGCCTCATGGGCGGGCCCGCCACATTCGCACGCCGCCTGCACTATTTCCACGAGTCCGGCATTGCCTACATGGGCAACGAGCAGACATTCTTGCCCGTCTTCCAGTTCCACTACGCCGGCCGGCCCGCCCTCAGCAGCTACTGGGCCCACCGCTACATCCCCTCACTCTTCAATGCCACCGTCAACGGCATCCCCGGCAACGACGACTGCGCTATGGGCGCCTTTTCAGCGTTTGTGTACATGGGCTTCTTCCCCGTGGCCGGCCAGAACGTGTACCTACTGACGCCGCCCTTCTTCCGCGAGGTCCGCCTGCGCGCTCGCAATGGCCGCGACGCCGTGTTCCGCGTGCTCAACTTTGACCCGACGTACGCCAGCAAATACATTCAGAGCGCGACACTCGACGGCAAACCGTATACGCGTAACTGGATTACGCACGACATCTTTTTGACGGGCGGCGTAGTCGAATACGTCGTGGGGCCTGAGGAAAGTGCCTGGGGTACGCACGACGAGGACTTGCCGCCAAGCTATTATGAAGGGGAGTAAATGGTGGTGAACGTGAAGAAAAGACACGGGAGTGAAACGATGTCGCCAATGATACCATATGTCGCATATTTTGCCATTTATTTTCAGTTTTGCTTCTTTGAAGGCTCCAAATGATCATACATTATTTATACAATGAGCAAAAACACATATCCAGGTGCAGCCTCAAAAGTCCGGTATAGCCAGTTCGTCCTCGTCCTCGTCCTCTTCCTCTTGTTCGCCACCCTCGTCCTCTTCTTCCTCGTCGTCCTCCTCGGCCTCGTTTCCGTCGCCTTCTTCGCTGTCAGAGTCATCGCCCGGGTCCGGCCGGACAATGCGGTTCAGAAGTGTCACAAAGGGTGTCAGAGCACTCAGCAGCTCAATGAGCCGGTCTTGTCCATCGGGATCCGTAAACATGCTGTCAGGAATCTTCTTGTGCATCGTGAAATTGCGCAGTTTCAAGAGCTCAATGTCCCGATGGTCGGCACTATAGCCCATCGGCTTCGTCTTGAGAGCGCCGTTCGCGTTGCTCTTGGCAAATGCCCTCTTGATGGCTTTTTCGTTGGCTTTGCCTATCGACACGCCAGCCCCGCCCCTGAGCCATGTCTTCCGCAGCGTATCATTCTCCACAAGCACCCGCCGCCACCAACGGGGCCGCTCGTCAATGCTCGCCTGCAGCAGCCGCAGCGAGTCGTTGTCCGGGTGCCACAGGCCGCCGCCGGCAAAGCACGAACCCGGTTCGCAGTGCACATAGTAGCACGCATACGGACCCTTTTTCCCCGTGCGCGACCACGCCGCCGAGAAGTGCGGCTTGTAGGGCCGCTGGTCTTTGCTGAAGCGCACGTCCCGGTAGATGCGGAAAACGACATCCTTGGCCGGCAGTTCAGGGATGGTCTCGTCAGCGTCGGACGCGAGGCGGAGGCCGAGCGTGTCGACAAACGACAGCCAGTCCTTTTGCGCCCGGCGGAACTCGGCGTCGTTGTCCTTGAGCCACTCGCGGCGGTTGTTGGCCTTTAGGTCCTTGAGGAAATCCATCGTCACGAAGTGGACGCGTTCGTCGACGTAATCAACGCCGCCGAGGTCGCGCAGCTTCTTGTGCGGGACGAAGGTGACCTTGGGAGCGGCATCCGAGTCGGCGTCAGAGTCGGCGTCGTCTTGCTTGTACCTGCTGGCAGGTCCGCCCTTCTTCGCTCTCTTTCGATCTCCACCGTCATTGTCATCATCATCGTCGTCGTCGCCGCCATCGTTGTCGTCGCCATCCTCTTCATCACTATCGTCTTCTTCCTCTTTGTACGAATCGGCATCGCTGTCGCCGCTGTCATCAACCTGTCGACGCGCTCCATTTCGTCGTCTGCCCGACGAAGCAGTTGTCTTGGCACGCTTTCCTGGCCGCTCATCCATGTCTACATCCGAATCGTCGCCTTCAAAGTACTGGCTCTTTTGGCCCGAGAGGCTGATGCGCGTCGACCGTCGGCGACCTGACGGCTCAGGGGTGGGAGGTGCCTGTCGTTTGGGTGGCATTTCGCAGGATGGGGCACATGAAATGAACGGATGCGATGGATTAGTGATGGATGATTGATGATGGAATGGAGAGAGCGACTTCAGGTGGTGGATGCTGTCGTCGTCAATTAGAAAGTCGCGAAGGATGCCTCATCGATCCTCGTACACCCAATGGACGCGACAAATCGCAACGCTAGTCCATCTTGGGTTACATCACTCAACACGCTATCACGTGTTCAATTAAACGAGGTGTTTCTACAAAAGCCACTGCACTTTTTCTATTTGGCAGATTGCAGTCGACTAAGTTCCCCACCACTTATTACAGGGCGTCTCCCCCGCGCTTTTAGACGGCTTTTCCTCCTCCGGGTGTCGCTTCCAGCGGCTCCCGGCGTTCTTACAGCGCAGTTTAGGGGCCCGAGATATCTCGTATTAGCGCTTGACCTACGATCCACAGGGCCATACTAGCACCGTCTAACATCACGTCGAACACGTTACATGGGGCCGTTTTGTTGGTGGCCAAGATCCAACTGGCACCAGCCCTTCCACGTCTGTAGCACCTTTTCGGATGCTGCATGTAACAATCAACTTTGCCCATCGCGAGGGGCCAATACTGTGTACCTTGGCTTATACCAAAGTATCGTGTTATCTAGGATCGACTTAGTTGGAGTCAGCAAGCGGAGACGCTGGAACCGCAAGACAGAAAAACAAGGAAAGTAAAGGAAAGCAAAGAGGGGAAACCTCGGGCAAGATACGAACTTCCAAATGATAGCATTCTGGGAAGCATAAAGACGAAGCCAGTCGCTTCACATCCCCAGACTTTCACATCTCCACAAGGCAAAAGACCCAAAGATACACAGACACAAATACAAACAAACCAGCCACCACCCAACCCCTCACTATGACTGTCTCTGAAGACCCCTACCTCACCAGCCTCAAGGCCGACGGCTTCGTCGTTGTCCGCAACGTCGTCAGCGGCGACGCGCTCAAGGCCCTCCAGGAAGCTGCCATCCGTACCGCCAACAAAGCCCGCGCTGGCGACTGGCCGTACGTGCGCACCGTCGGCAAGCAGTTCCCGCCCTGGGACCGGTGGGACCGGGCAGCGGCCGAAAAAGCCAAGGCGAGCAACGGCGTCGACCAGCCGGGCATCTGGGGCGTGCAGCACCTGATGCGCCCCGAGATGGGCGCCCAGGACGCCGGCATCTTTACGCAGTCGTACTTTGCGCAGGACGGCGTGCTCGACGTGGCGAAGCGCGTGCTGGCGTGCAGCGACGACGACCTGGTCATGGAGCTGTACAACATGCTGGTGCGGCCCGACTACAAGGACTATGAGCTGCGGTGGCACCGGGACGACATTGGCCCGGACGCGACGCCGGCCGAGGAGATGGAGCGGCTGCAGGCGCCCGCGTTCCATGCGCAGTGGAACTTGGCGCTGTGGGACGACGCCAGCCTCATTGTGGTGCCCGGGTCCCACAAGCGGGCGCGCACCGAGGGCGAGCGCGCGGCCGATCCGTACCAGGCGACGCTGCCGTGCGACGAGGCGGCAGGCCACCGTCCCCAGCTCACCGTGCAGCTGGGCCCGGGCGACGCCGTGTTCTACAACAACAACATTCTGCACCGGGGCGTGTACCAGACGGCTGTGGAGCGGACGACGCTGCACGGGTCGGTAGGCCATGTGGGCGGCAACGCACTGCGGGCTCGCAACGTGCTGCAGCACGGCGTGGGCGACTGGGTGGAGCGGTGCGACTTCAGCGTGCTGACGGAGACGGAGCGGGTGCGGGCTGAGGGCATGCGTGCGCGGCTGATCAAGATGGGCCGCGAGAGTGGTCCGGTCGGGTACTCATTGAAGGATTAGGTTGGGCTCGGCCTGTGTGTGGGTGCTTTTCATGATAATGAGTAAGAAGTAACATTGATCTCAAGATGGCATGCAAATAAACATATAAAAAAGAAATGAAAGGGGTCCAGATCCGAGGGAGTGAAACGAACAGAAAAAAACAACAGAAAAAGAAAAAGAAAAAGAAAGAAAACAAGTCCAAACGCTATCCAAGGAATCAGCCAAAATTCAAACCATCCAAATTAATCCCAAAACCATCTCAAGTCATACAAAAACGCCAAATAGAAAGCCACCGCCATACCAAAACGTCGCCGTTTCAGCCCGCCTGGCTCTGGAACAGAGCAATGGTGTCCGGGTAGACATTTTTATTGTCAGCCGCGCTCGCCAGCGACGCGCCATCCCTGTCGAGCATACTCGCGACGCCAATGGTGTTGAGGTTGTAAATGTTGACTGCTGGCGAGCTGCCCTCGATGGAAGTGATGCGCGCCTGGCACGACCGGCCCGCGATGCAGGTTTGGCCGTAGTTGCTAAAGAACGAGTAGAGGCCGGCGCCGTACACAAGAACCGTGTCCGAGTCTAAAACGCGCAGACCCCATGCCAAAGCACAAGTGGTATCTGAAGCATCGCAGGCCGAAAAGTCCGGGTCGTTGTAGGTCGCATTGGCCTCGAACGGTGTCGTGGCCAAGGGGTTCGGCTGAAAGTAGGGCGTCTCGGACTGGATCTGGCCCATGAACACGTCGCGGGCGTTGGCGACCTGGTACTGGTACAGCGTGTGGTGCTCGGAGCCGGTGCCAACAAGCCACACCGGGCCCGACGACGACTCGACGTAGAGGCCGCGGCCGCTGTAAATAGAAATCTGGGTATTGTTCCAATCGTCCATGTCGTGGTCAGCCGTCCACAGCCAGACGTTTTCGGCATACACGGCGGCGGCAGACTTGGTCACATGCATGGACATGAAGGCGCCGATGCAGTTGGAGTTCACAGTGGACGACTGCGGGTTCTTGAGGCAGCCAGCAACCTGGAGTTCGGAACCCATGAAGCCTCCGATGCGGGTGTGGACATCCCAGATACCGCCCAGGTCCGACGAGGCCGACGCATCAAGGTTCCACTGGATCAGGATGGCGCCCGCCTGCGCACCCTGTGTCGCAAGCACAAAGTCGGAGAGCTCGACGGTACCCTGTTCGCCCGAATAGGCACCGACCTGCAGCAGCGGCCGGGGGTTGCTGTCACTCTTGAAGAAGGAGTCGCCACCTGCCAGGATGATGGGGTAGGCCTCGCCGACGATGCGTGCACCAGGCGGTACGGTCAGCGTATTCGTCACCACGTACAGGCCGTAATCGAGGTAGACAACCTTGCCAGTAAGCGTGGCGGAGTCGATCAGTTCCTGGAGTACCGCCGTGTCGTCGGTGACACCGTCCCCCTTGGCACCGGCCGCACGAGCGCTGAGGAAGTTGCAAGCAAGGAGGTCCTCGTACTGTGGCTTAGCGCGAGCGTAGTAGGAACCAGGAACGCCAGCAGCCGAAGCTACCGGGTTACCCGAGGCCAGCAACGAGGTGGGCCGAAGGTTGCCGTTGAAGCCGCCCTGCAGCGGCGTGGGGCCGTCGGGAATGTACTGGTGGCCCTGGCCCCAAGCAGCGACGGTGACAGCGACGCCGCCGGTCAACAGGTTGCCGTCGGGGGTCTGCACGATGACAGGGACCTGGTTGGCGACAATGTTCTCGAGGATGATGCTGCCGGCAGTCTCGGGCTGCGACGTGTTGGGCACATATGCCGAAACAATGGCGACGCTGACGCTCGTAAAGACACTGTCAAATACGGTGATGGAACCGACAGACTGGGCACTGCTGCCGCCCGACGAGACATTGAGGCCCACATCGCAGTTCTTGATATCAAGGCCGTAGTAGGTCCAGCCCCAGTCCCAGAGCTGGTTGATGGCCGTGACACAGCTGTCAAAAGCAAGATTGCGCATCGTGAACTGCTGGTTCCCGAGAGACGCGCCAATGGCACCGCCATCAAAGGACAGGTCCGTCATAAAACCACCGCTGCCGCTCTCGATGAAGAGGCCAATGTGTGCCACGCCCTTTGTCCGGGGCATGACAAAGCGCACATTCTGCAGGCTCGTGGCCTGAGCGGTCGGCCAGTGGACGCCGTATGCGAGCTTGGTGGCGTCAATGGCCGTGGTGTCGAGCACGAAGTTGCGGATCTGGCGGTAAAACAAGTTGGTCGACAGCCAATTGGGGTCCGGGCCGCTGTAGTAGGGGTCGCCGTCGATGAGGCCGAGACCGACAAAGTTGGACGCGGCCTTGAGGGTGGGCAGGTTGGTGGCATCGCCGATCAGCTGGGTCATGTAGGCCGGCAGGATGGACGTGGACAGGACGTAGGTACCGGCCGGGAAGTAGATGACGGCAGGCGTAATGGTCGAGGACTGGCAGCCCTTGTCACAGCGGTTGCCGTCGGCAATGGCAGCGTTGATGGCGGCCGAGTCGTCGGTCACGCCGTCGCCCTTGGCGCCGTAGTCGAGCACGTTGCGGAAAACGACGTAGCCATCCTCGGCGTACGGAGCAAGGCCATTGTGTGGCACTTCTTCCATCCAGAAGGCAGCCTGTATGGTGGCTACAAGGTAGCCCAGCAGGGCCAACCATGCCAGCGAGGGTGAAGCAGTCTTCATGGTGACAGCGTTGAGGTCGATAGAGGGAACTCGAAGTGGCGTTGTAAAATGGAAAAGATAACGAGTGACGAGATGAAAATAAAGTAAACAACAAGCATAAAGAACGACACCGGCGATGGAAGTGGGAAGGAGAGACTATCGCCAGACTGCGGAGGATTAGGGAGTGGAAGACGACGCCGAGGATGAAGAGGAGGCGGGAAAGGAAACAAGAAAAGAATGGTCCGAAGAAGAGAATGGAGAAAGAAAAAACGAAAACAAGAGACTCGCGGCCCGGCCGAAATTCTCGTGATTTACATATCTCCCGTCGCGAGGCGAAAGAACGAGCGTGACACGGCGTGAAAGCGTGCGGCGACAAGAATTCAATAGAAACAAGAAGCAGAGCCAAATGACGTCGAAAGAATGAAGAAGTTAGAAGCGAGCGCGACGGTCGTGTCGAGTGGATAAGATGTACGAATAAAGGCGCGATTGGCATTTGGAGATGCTCCAGATGATTGTACCTGTGCAATTTGTTGTGCCCCTTTTCGGTAGAAGATCGTCGGAAAGTCTCGCATGGCAGTTGGTACAAGGCGGACTGCACGCAAGGAAAGAACGACTGTGAATTCGGGAGGAAAGCAGTGTACACAGAAAGAACGACCGTCGCCGAACACAAATTCAGGGGCAGCGACGAAGAAAACGGGAAATACGGAAGGGTCGATCGATGCAAGGGGTGCCGAAGGAGATGAGCTATGATGGAGCAGCCGTAGATGTTTACTTGTATGTTGTACTCTTGGCGAAATTCGGGAGGGCACAGTACTGTACATTGGACAGGGCTACGACGAGCAGGGTGCATTTGCGTTCGAGTATTTGAAAAGTAGGGTAACGTGTGCTTTATTATTGGAATTGGCTCTCTGTTCAATTCAACGGTCTTTTGGAGGAATGTCGACGCGCCTGGGTCGTGGTTGCTGTTTTAAAAATGCATTACTGCCTGTTTTGCGCTTGCGTCGCGCCGCTCCTTCCTCATTCTATTCCTTCCAAATGTCTCAACAAGGCTTGCCCAGTGGGAAAGGTATTTGGGAAAAGAATGAGACGGAGAAAGAGCGCGTGGGAGCGCAAATGCAAGTAGGCTCAGGAAGGAACGACGCGTTCAAACGTGAAATGGTTCCTGGAAGGAAGCAGAAGAAGAGTGTCGTGCTGATATTGTTCTCATCGCTTGCCTCTTGCCTACCGATATATTGTATTCCTTTGCTCGCTTTCTTATTTATTGAGACAATGCTCCGCCGACCCAACCGAAGCTGCGTTGTGATTTCCGAGTCTTCACGTTTTGGTCCCACCAGGTAAAGAGAGACAAAGGTCAAGAAGGTCAAGAAGGTCAAGAAGGTCAAGAAGGTCAAGAAGGTCAAGAAGGTCAAGTAGCGAGACAGGAGACAGGAACGACGGTCGCACCGTTGAGTGTGGTCCAGGCACTTTCAAAGGAATACATCATGCTTGTCTATATGGTATAAATGCTGGTCGTCAAATGAACATTTGGAATTAAACACGGCAAGCAGAAGGCACAAAAAGACACTGACAAGACGCCGACAAGACGCAAAGACACACGTCTCGCATCGCTCCTCTCACTTCTTCTCCTTCGTGTACTCCCTGGCCTGGGTGGCGGCCTCAATCTCGGCGCGCTTTCGTGCATAGAAATGCTCGCCATAGTAGGTTTCCCCGGCGGCCGATTCCCGCTCCTTTTCTTTGCCCTTGCCACGTCCAAACATGCGGCCGAGCCAGCCTGACGAGGAGGAGCCGTGGCCGGCGCCGGGACCACTACCAGGGACCGTGGCGTAGGCGCTTCTACCGCCGTCCGCGCCTCCGCTACTGCTGGGACCTGCACTGGAGAAGAAGCCGCCCGGTTTTTCCGTCTCGGGTGGCAGCGCTAGGTTGGCAGCCACCCCTCCACCAGCGACTTGCCGATTCGGTTCGTAGGCATTCGTAGAGGAGACGGTGAAGCGGGTGGCGGTGGTGGGCGTCGTCGTCGATGTCGCCCGGCGGTGATCGCGGTAGCTGTCGGCGAGGGCAGCCTTTTCGGCCATGGCAGAACGGTCCGACGCCGACATGCCGGACAATTCTGACTTTTGCGGCACGCTGGGCTGCTGGCCCGGGGCCGCGGGCTTTGCAAGGGCTGGCACGGCCCGTAGTTCGCGCATGCGGATCTGGCGGTCCAGGTGGGCCACGCGCGCGCGCTTCTCGGCCAGCTGCCGCTCCAGATCGGCGGCCTGCAGCTGGGCCTGCCGACGCATGTCGCGCAGCACCGTAAGGTCGGCAGCGTCCTTGGCCGCGCGCTCCCGTTCTTCTTGCTCGATTCGGGCGCGCTCGGCGTGGCGTTCGCGCCGTATGTGTTTCTTGGTGTGCGTCATGTAGTATATTTGGTTCTGCTCGTAGGCGATGTGGGATTGTTCCTGCTGCTGCTGCTGCTGCTGCATCGTCTGGCTCTGGTCGTCGAGCCCCTTGGCCCCATCCAGCCTGGCTTGAGCCTCACGGATCTGGTCGGCGGCGGCGTCTTTGGCTTTCATGCGCGCCGTGCGATCGATCTTGGCCTGCCGCCTGGCCTCGCGACGCGCGCGCCGCATTGCGGCGACATCGGGCGGCCCAGCGTCACCGTCGTACGTGGTGCCTTTGCTGCTCGCTGCGGCGCGCTCGTACTCCTTGCACGGCGTGCAGTAGTGGGCCCAGCGCGTAGTGGAACCGAATCGGTCGCCCATGCCGTCAACGTAGACAGGGTACCGCCCGTCGGGGCGGTGTTCGCGGCGGTCGAGACAGGAGCAGCAGCGCCGCGGACCTGACGTCATCGAGCAGCCACGCCTCGCCCAGTGACCACAGTCGAGGGACGACGTGGCCGACGAGGAGGAGGCTTCGTCAGCAATCACTCTATCCACATAGTTCCAGCTGGACTTCGTTTCGGGGAGAGCCGATGGACTAGCAATGGTCTCGCTGCGGCTGCGAGCATGGTCATTGTAGGACGCCTCGTACGAGGGCGGCGATATAGATGGGGTGCCGCTGGTGTCGTCACCGAGATCGATCAAGTCGCCTTGCGCGTCTGCTGGCCCAGTCGAGGAGCCAGGGGCATCGCCGAAGCCGTGGGCTCTGTACGGCGGCGGCGGCGCGTTGTCGTTGTTGGCGCTGTGCATGGTGGGAAGAGAGAGAAGCTGGAGGTCCGGCGGTCGACAATGCGGCCAAGGCGGAGCCGCGAAAAGGCAGGCGCTGAAAGGGCAACTACAGGTAGTTTGCAGCGGGCGCTATGCACTGAAGCCACTGCACAAAAGTAAATACAGAAACGAGCAATCTCGAGAACGCAAAAGGTGCAGCTGGTAGATGTCGCCAAAGAATCGTGGTCGCTGAAGCTGCTATTGTATCGAGCCATGGAAGAAGGACGGCGGCAACCTTTTGTATCGTATCCTCTTATTGTTGATCGCAAGGCTGCCTGCGGTGCCTTGCAATGTGGGCGCATTTTTGACATTCTGCCAATGCAGCCTTGGGAAGCAGCGGAGGCTGTGCCCAACCCTTGCAACCCACGCCACTTACACCCGACAAGGAAAGACCCCACATTTTATGGAATTGAGCTCACAGTCCTTCGGTTTGGGTTTGGACAGGCAGGACCTCGAAAGCACACCCACAGTGACCCCTGATTCACCTTGCGGAGCGACTGCACAGCACCTCGGATGGACAGCCAATCTTTGGGAATTTATAAGTCCCCGAAGTTGCGATGCGGCATCGGATGACATGCATGGCGACCAAAGAGGAGGAAAGAACGAACAGTGGCGGGTTAAGAGAGGAGGGGGATGATAATAAAAAATGAGATAAAAATATAATAAAAACAAAGTAAAATAAAATAAAATAAAAAGAAAGAGCCAATAAAGAGTACGTGGCGGCAGGCCGAATGAGGCGCTAGTTCTGGCATAGGGTGTTGTATACTTCCCGTTAGACCCCTGTAAAGTCAACAAACAAGGCAAGGGCTCGCATCGACGAACAAAGAAGTCGCGATGTGCACAATAACACCCTTGGAGGCAACAGGTCGAGTGCTGCAGATTTGTCTGAATGACCTGAAAATATGAGTTGACTTTTTCAAGAGCAAAAAAAAGTCAGAATAAACGTATCCCATTTCAAGGAAAATGAGAAGCCCGAAAAAAACCATATGCTAAGTTGACCAAAAAAAATTCAAAAAAATAACATATACGGCAGGAGAGGGATTCGAACCCCCGTCCCCAAAGGGCCTGCGCGCCCCCGCCGCCAACAAGTTTTCCAGGCTCAAGAGTAGAAAGACAGTAGAAAGACAGTAGAAAGTCGAATGAAAGATACATGAAAAGGCAGAGGAAAAGCAAAGGTTACAAACGAGTGGATCTGGCCAGACACGACTGGCAGGCCATTCCAGGCCTGTTCCCTTTTCAGTAGACATTCATACAGTGCACAATGCCGAGGCCCGACGACCCAGACTCGCTGCGTAGCCAGTCGCCGTTGTCGTGAATTGTAGCCGCTGTCGGTTTGCTGTTGTATAAACAATTGTTGGCCGTTTTATGTGGATTTTGTGAGGTGTTGCGGAATTCCAATTCAGTTGTTGCTTCGGCTGAAGACGTTTTTTGGTCCTTTTTTCATTTTTTTTGTTCCTTTTGTTTGGGCGCCGTGTATTGCCAGAAAGGAGATTTTATTGCAGCGCGGTTGAAACCAGGAACCGAACACCAAACACCGAAAACCCGAAAACCGATACCAGGAGAAGACATCAGAAACAGAAACAGAAACAGAACAGAACGAAATATGATTACATACGCTGGCGCAGACCAGATTCTCTCCGGTCACCACCGGAGAACGGCTGCGAGGAAAACTTGTTGGCTTGGCGGGGCCGGCACAGGGTCTTAACCACTCGACCATCCTGCCTTTAAGAGAGTATTGCAAAGTGAACGGGCGCGGCAGTATATAAATGACGGACTGCACAATTTCAGAAGAAAAGGACCACGAGGAAGGTGTGGAGACGCGTTGAGGACAGGACGGCGCGATGGTTTGTTACTGACGTGGACGGAAGGAGTGGGGGGGGGAAGGAGGCAGGAAAGAGCCGCAGGATGGAGACACGAGACATGTAACGATGTTGGGACAATCACTTATCATGGACACGGATATGGCTGGTATCAACAAGCACTTGTCAAACAAAAAGTACGTCCCAAAATAATCAAACACGCTGCTACTTGTGAAGCAAACAAATCCAATAGTTATATAAACAATACGCCCAGACCGAAACCCCGGGCCGTCCAGAAATCACAAAGTCCCCAAGGCTTCACAAACGCCAGGGCTTGCCGAGGCCTAGGAATACCAGGTCAAACAAACGTAAACAGTAGGAATGGAAAACAAATAAATATATAAAAAGAAACAGACATAACGGACTCTACAGACCACCAGTGGCGGACATCCGCGCCATTGGGGTCCGGTCGCCCGGCTTCTCCAGAATGTCCGCATAGCTCTCGAGACCGAGACCCATAATGCTAATCACCTCAAAAATGTGCGTGCCCTTGAACGTCTCCGCCCATAGGTGGATCACGGCCGTCGCAAGCTGTCGCAGCTTGGCGCCGTCAGTCCCCGACGCCGTCGACGAAGTCGAGACTGCAGCCGACGCGCCCGATGGCGCACTGCCCGACAACGACGGGTCAATGGGCACGGCAAACTCCGTCTCGTCCAGCAGCCGGCGCACGTTGTCGAGCAGCGTCTTTTCCTCGGCCGAGATGGGTGCGTCGTTGGGGCCAATGGACGCCAGCGTAATCAGCCACTTGGACAGCAGCAGAGCACACTCCATATTGCACACTAGATTGAGACGTTAGAACAAAATAAAAACAAAACGTAAAAACCAGTGGGCTTGCTTTGGTAGACACGATTTGACTCACAAGACAGCTGCATGCTCCACTCGAGGGACTTGGTCCGCGCCACGTAGTTGACGCCGGCCTTGACGAGCATTGCCAGCGCGTGGATCGCCTGCACGACGGCGCGCGTTGTGCGTGGACTGCGAACTAAGAGGGGCACATCGTTGAATGCGTTGGCAATGATGCCGTGGTCGCGCGTTTCCAGCCGCCGGCTCGGGTTGAGGTCCGTGTACAGCCGGATGTATGCTAGCCGCAAAAGCGCCGTCGCGTTGAACGCCACGGAGCCACTGTGGTAGTTGTCCGCCGGGTTCATGCCAGCCTGCTGGTGGTGGTGGGCACTCTCGGCGGCGCGCATTTGTCGGTGCTGCTCGAAACCGATCTGCCACAGCCGCAAGCCGTGCGCAGTCTCCTCGACGTCATCAATCTTGAGGCCACGGTGGATGCCGTACGGTGTGGCAATGCCGACAGAGGTCTGCTTCAGCAGGTAAATGTGCTGGATGAAGCAGTGCATCAGGATGTAGTTGCCGAGTGATGTCACATGACTGAGCGGCGCCTGGACGTTGCGGTTGAGGATTCTCGAAAAGGCCTCCTGCAGAGGCAGCTCGACACTGCCATAGGCCTGGCGTGCTTCCTGCCACTGCCACGCCGTTTCCATTCTCCAGAGTCGCGAGGGCTGCGGGAGAACCAGGTTGACCTCGGATGTCAGCAGAAGGGGTGGCGTGTTGTACACGACGCTGCATAGATTGAAGAAGCAAAACGCGATCAGCTTGGTGCGCGTACTGCCTTCAACGCGGACCCACGTGTCCCAGTCAGTCACCTGGCTGGACGGCTGGGATTCGAGGCCCTCTTCGCGGACAAGAACGGCCAGCTGGCTTTGCAGAGAGAGCGCTTCGTGCAGGATGGCCTTGGGGCCCCACAAGCCGACGGCAAACAGGAGCAGGAGAGCCTGGATGGTTTCGAGGCGAGCCTGCGGCGTGTTTGGCGAGCTAAAGGTCGGTTAGTATGTTTTATTTTTATTTAGTTGTAAAACAAAGGGGGTGGAGGAGGGGCGGCATACTATGGCTCGCGATGTGTATCCTGGGTCAAGGGACGGTCGTGTTGCACCGAGTTGAACGAGTGCCGGTAGCCCGTGCTGGGTGAAGGGCGTGTTGAATGTGGGCTGTAGGCGGCCGAGGTAGGAAGCAGGCTGTGCACCTCGTGACTATGACGACGGCGAATCTGCTCAAACGCAATGGCCTTGGCGGCGTACCACAGCGCATAGCCACGGTGACTCTCGAAGCGGTACTGGGCACCGACAGCGAGAATGGCCAAGATTAATTCGGGCGAGAGCTCGCCAGGCGACAGGGTCGGCAAATGCAAAAATGGGAGGTGCTCGTGGAAGCCGCTAATGTATCCCTCAAGGAAGCGGGTCAGCGTGTGCCGGGACGGGCAGACGAAGTCGGTAGGCAGAACCGACGAGAACTCTTCGAGGCGGCTCTTGATCGTGTTGTGATCCGCCAGTCCAATGCGCCATCCGGGAGCGCGCATCGAACCTTCGTCTTGCGAACGCTGGGGACCGGATTCCGAGTGTATGTCACGCATGTCCGGCTGCACAGATGGGAACCGTGTCGACGGGAACGACGAGCCAGCCATCTTGGACATGTTGTTGCTGCCACTACGGCCCCACATGCCAAAAGGCTGGTCGGACTCGAGGGCTGTTGGCAAAAAGTGCGAGGACGAAGTAAAGTCGTCGAGGAACAAGTGGTAGTCGTCAAACGACGCAGCAGGCGGCTGGCCGGCGTAGGATGGCGGGATGGCCTCCTGCGACGCCGGTGCCTCACGGCTGCGATCATTATATGGCGGTGGCGTTGTATCAAAAGACTTGACGGGCGGGATCGGGCCGGTTGACGACGAGGGGCCAAGATCCGGCATCATGGGTGGCATGACGCTAATTTCGGCGGCCGAGGCCAAGTGCGTGGCGGCATCTGAAAGCAGATCCAGGTTACATGCCGGCACGTTTCTAGATGCGAGCCGGGGGTCGGTCGGTGGCGGTGGCGGCAACGACGCAATAGAATGTGACGGGTGGGCGGCATGGACCGAGTGCTGTGATGGCGACGGAATTGGCTGAGGTGCTTGGGCGGGGTATCTGGAGGTTGAGGACTGGCGCCGCTGCATGCCCATCATACTCATCTCGCCATGGTCATCCGAGGACATTGTGTGGCCGCTGCCCGATGACGTTTTCCGGATCCGGCTGGCATCCTTGCCGCCCTCATTGAGATGAACAAGCTTCTCATGGCGGACTAGAAGGTCACTGATGTCCATGTATGAGCATATGTGTTATACGTTGGGTGATACGACGCAAAGGAGTAAGGTGTGAAATGGGTAGCATAGGTTTGATGTGCGGACGCACGCGCACAATATGGAGTGCGTTTATGAGGTAGGAGACGCAATACAGTGGGATGGTGAGATATGTAGTTATAGCGCAAGTGGTAATGTGTATGAGGGTAGCCAGTAATATGTATAACCAGAAAGACGCAGGCTCGGGTAGATCGTGTGAGAGATCGGAACGAGACAAGTTTGGGAGAAAACAATACGACAAAATAGTATGGGGGAAAAGGCTGAAGAGTAAGGCATGAAAGACAGTAAGGAAAATGGCAATAATGTCATGTATGGGTAGGGAGAAAAGGGAATTAGAGACCGCGAGGCTAGGGGAAGTGTGAGGGGAGGCCTTCGAGCATGCGTAGGTTCGGTCCGAATTCCGTGATAAATAGAATCGCGTATCCGACGTTGTCGCTTTTGCTCGCACTTGTATAACTCGGATCCTGATATTCGATTTGTTCCGGCGTCCACCCTCATTACCTCATATAACACCTGTTGGCTGTTGTCGACAGATCCCCAAGATCGGTATCAAAAAGGGAAATCGTAGAGGCAAAGGAAGTGAAATGGAGCGGATGGAGGAGGCAAGTCGCCGAGGTGATACGAATGTACAAATGAGGAGGTAACGACGGGCATGTGAAGGAAATGATGGGGAGTCGATATTGAGGGAGATAACGGTGAAAGAAGAGACGACACGATGAAAAAAAAAAATGAAAGACGAAACCAGCAATCGCTTGATGAGAAAAGTGATGAAGAGAAGACGGTGCAAAAAAAGAGTCATCAAGAGAAGATTAAACATGGGGAGAAGGAAGATCAAAACTCACCGTCGACCAAAGGTCTTTCCACAACGCGCCCAGTTGCAGGCAAAAGGCTTCTCCTTGGTATGTGTCCGCTCGTGTCTTTGCACATGCTCCACACGCCTAAAAGAGAAAAAAGAGTTCAATGTAAGCTAATATGCGCGGAAAGCGGAGGTTGGAGAAGGGATGATCAAAGGGGGTGAAGGGGGTGGGTTGCAAGAGGGGATAGAGCCGGCGAAGAGGAGGCGAGGAGACGATGGTAACGGGGAACGGAACCGCTCATCGGCTCTATCACAAATCAAGATCAGACGCGGCTGAGGGGGAGTCGGGATCTGGGAAGCCGAAAATCGTCAAAAAGGTGTCAAAAAGGTGCATATTGCACATACCTAAACCGTTTACTGCAGTATTTGCACGGCAGTGTCTTGGGCTTCAACGGCCGGCCCTCTGCACTGTGTTCAGTCATTCCTAAGTTTGAAGGTGCTTCGATGGGCTGAATGGCTAGCATGATCTGGCTTCAGGCGTTCATGTGTTTCGTTTTGGTTTGCCTTTTCGGTCGACTTCTATTGTTGTGCGATAATCAAGCGGCAATAAGTACGGAGCAGAAAAGCAGTGTCTGTCTTCTGGGCGTACGCGGAGTAGCAAATGCGAGTCGTCCAAATTCGAGAGTTGAAGGTTGAAAAGCCCCAAAGTTATAGTCAACAAAGGCGCATTGATTTTCTTTTGAACTGCGGAGACGAGCTGGACTGCAAGATCAAATGGTAAAAATAGGCCGCCGAATTCGCTGCCGACGGTATTGCTGCGTAGCTGTTTCGGAGTTTCGTCGTGTCCTAGGGTTTTTCTTGTTGACCGTCTTTTGCTGTTGCCTGCTTTGATGTTGATGATACTTGGTGGTCGGTGAGAGGTGGAAATTACGAGGTGCTGTAACTTGAGATTTGAGCGTCCAAAGAAAAAACCGAAGACGGAATGCCAAAGGCGCACAGCGTAAAGCGTTGAGTGGGGGGCTGGGTAAGCTGGGCAGTTGGGTATTCAGGGCAAGGCAAGGGAAACCTGCAAGGTATGATGGGACGATTGGTGTTTATGGGAGAAACAAAGAGCGTTATGTGGGAGGGGAAGAGGAGAAGTATGAAGGGGAGAGAAGAAAAACGAGAAAATAAAATAAGAGAAAAAGAAGGGGAGAAATTCGGCTTAAAAAAAAAAAAGAGAATCAACACGTCGCCTAACAGCGGGCCGTCTGTTTGCGGGGAGAGAAATACAAGACAATAAAAAATGGAGGGAGGGTACGGGGAAGCAGGAGACGTCAAATGGAAGGCGGTTCTCCGCTCCCAAGAAAATAGGGTGCTGCAGTGTGGGAATTATGGAATATGGGGGCGGAACCAAGATGGGAGCTAGGAAGCCAAAGACAAGACGGGGGCGGAGAAAGAAGGAAAGACAGAAAAAGGTCAAGGATAAAGGAGAAGGTCTGGAACACACAGCCGCTGTGTATCCTTTGTCCTCTTGATTTCCTTCTCTCTTTTTTTCTTTAAACTTCTTACCCTGATGCAATCGATGAGTCCTTGCTTGCCCTTGCTGGGCGTGCAGACTTCCGAGGCGGTTGCAGTGGCAGCGTATCAGACTGCGCGATGCCTCTTTTCTGGGTGGGACGAGAGGGGAGGGGGAATTTTCTGCAGTAGGGTAGCAAAACGGTAGGCCCCAGTGGGGAGAGATATCCGGTACACACGGTAATATTCTCCGCGCGATGCGAGAGCTGTGAGTAAGGAAAGCAGGGAAAACAAAAGAGGTGGACGCTCTTTGGCCACTCGTTCTCGGACGGGCCGCCTAGACCAAACTAAGAAGGGAAGGCTGGGGAACCGAAGGTGAGGGGGTGGGTGGAAAGCGGGCAGGAGTCCTGGGAAGAGCACGGAGCTCGGAGTGAGAGGAGGGAGTGGATAGCCTGGGGGCACTCCAAGTATGCGCGCTCTCAAGATCAGTGGCGCAGAGGATGGGACAGGATGGGTGTCGATGATACAGGAACGATTGGTACCCTGTAACTTGCTGGGAACGGCGGGAGTCGTATTTTGGTTCTGTCATGAATGGGTTATGTTGTCGCATACATTCGTTGAAGAGCCGGACCAGTACTTCGATGGTGGAGAAGTGGAGAACTGACATGGAGTCAACCAGGCGGGAAATGAAGGCAAGAGAGGTCCAATGTGAGGGAAAGGCAAGCTGCGAGATGCAACACGTCGAAGTGAGCGTAGCCAGTCGTGTTGGGCAGAGGTGCGAACGAGTGCGAACAAAGGACAGCTCCCTAGTGACGCCGTAAAAGGCGGGAAAACGGACGAGACGATCTCTCCCTGGAATGAGCAAAAAGGCGGGGAAATTTTGTGCTTTGAATACGGCCAATATGGCGTGTTCATGGCGTGTTGGAAATGCGTTGCGCGCCGTCGTGTATTCAGACAGGTGCATCCACCTCAGACAGCAGTGGACGACGTGGTGGGTGCAGTGCCGTGTTGTGGTCAATGCCCTGTCTCTCTTCGTTTGTCCAATTTATTGGTCTCCTCGTCTGGGTGCTGCCGACAGAACGGTAGATCATTTTGTTGTGCCTGTGTTGGACAGATGTTTCGCTGCCCATGCAGATGTGCCGGGGCGGGAAGAAACACAGAATCTGGGGAGCAGGTGCCAAATTGCGGAGAGGAAAAAGAGGAGGGAGGCGAAGGGGGGGGGCCGGTTCTTCGTCACAAGCAAATTTGGAGAAAATGGTTCAGAATGAGGTACAGTACACGGCGTTTGTACTCCGTGGAGCCGTCATGGTGTCCCGGGCTGACTAGGACCGGGTACAACATACAGAGTACATTAAAACGTACAAGTTATGGTCGTCAGTTCCGAAGTAGATGGCCTGTAATATTTTTGATAGATTGGTTAGAATACGGGAGCCATCGGCAAAATTGAAAAACAGACGAGAGTGGACGCCTAGACCAGGAAACTGCACCCGCAAAACACAGACACAGGAGCCGTGCAAGGGTCAGTGAGATGCGTGAGATACGCGGTGCGCATATGCCGCGTTGGAATAGCGTCTGGAGTTTAAGGCGAAAGGATGCGCACAAGGAGCCCGGCGATCTCCAGATGCGGAGGGTGATGGAAGGGTGTAAGAGTGGAGGATATCTTGCATAGAACGACGCAAAGGGCAGGCCTATTGTGGCTGCGTCGTCTGTTGCTCGTAGTGGCCGTCGTGCCTTTTTTTTGCACAGTTTGCATGTGCCCGTTGGCGGACGGCGGACTGACTGGGCTGATGCTCTGGCGTTCGTCTTGCTCTCGCGCCAAACTTTGGTGCTCACTTTACTTGCCGCTGTGATTTGGTGGGTAATAAGACACTCTCGGGATGTGGTGCGAGACGTCTAGGTTCGAAGAGACCCAAATACAGCGGCGAGAGGTACTCAAAACAGGGAGGAGCCTGCGATCCCTGGGCCTGGTGTGTTTGGGGTCGCCGGCAAGTCTGGGAGAAAAGCTCCCTGGGCATTCTGAAATGGAGGACGGTGGTCTATTTAGAAAAGATGGGGGGTAATCAATGCCAGAGTCGGAGAGAGGAGACTGTACGACACACGGTGTACATTACTGGGTAGGGCTGTTGGAGAGAAACGTTGCGACTGTCACAAGTCAATTAGTTCAAGCAAATGAGGACAGCACTGCGCGGGGGGGTCTTGGGGGGTGGTCGAATGGGCACAGGCCAGCACACAAAAAGACAAGTCAGAAGGCAAAAGTGAGGCTTTCCGTTTGTGTTTGTTGATTGGGGGTCAATAGATTTCCCAATTTTAAAGAGTGCCGCGTACGGAGTAACTACTAAGCATCGCTCCTACCCATTCCGCATCTCCTCTATTTCCTCTTGCCTTCCCAAAACGGCTGTCAAGATCCTTTGCTCCTTCCTCCAACAGTGCTATTTCGAGGGGCGCATGAGGAACGACAGTCGTCTCCAAGCCGGGCTGATTCATTACGAGTGCGAGGACGTGAGGAAGAGAGGCATGATAGGCAAGATAAGTTCAGGCTTACCGATCCTCTGTCCTCTAGACAGTGACAAATTACGCTCTGGACTTTCGGGGTTGTGGATTTGCGGAGAGGGGACAGAAGGAAAGCCCAACGTAAGAGGAAGGCAGGCCCCAAAGTGCCTCGTCGCCCCAGAGGAGGTCAGCATCTCTGTCCTCTGGGAAGGAGCGACGAACGCGCGGAGACGGCTCCACTACGGAGTACATGGATGCCAGCTTAGCAGGGCAGCTTTTGGTTGTCAAAGTCCAACTTGCTTTTCCCCTTGGTCGTTATTTGAATGGGCATTTTCGACAGAGGAACTACATTCGTTACTCGTAGCTGTCCGACGCCGTCTCATTGCCAGTCACAGCGTTAGAAACCCCTCTTCGTTCCCCATTTCGTTCCTTCCCGATGGTATCGTCTTTTTCCCAATGCGTTTGCAGCCGAGCGATCTTGCCGACCAACCAATCGCCCGCAAGATACGTTTGACTGAACGTAACTGCCCTGATAGGAAGGCGCGATGGGTCTGCCCCGACTTGATACGCTCGAAAATGTTTGCGTACAAATATGCTGTACATGTCGACATAGATTTGTACATGAACGTATCGTTTTATTGACTTTTTCTTTCGCTGTCAAAATGCCGTCCTTGAATTCTTTTCCAATTGGAGCAGCCCCCAAATTGCCATTCTTTCCCTTTCCCCCAACTTTTTTGTTCGCACCCATCTGCCTCTCGCTCGCTCCTTCCCAATGTAGCGTTGTTTCCCATCCCAGTACTAGTACCTTCCCAGCATTGGTGTCCACCTGGTTTTGCGGAGACGAGGGGTTTTGGGGCGGGGGTGCAGGGGCGACCGGCGAGTGTGAGCGAGGGGAATGGGGGACATCAATGCTGATGCCCCACTCTTGTCGGTTTCCTTTCTCCTCCCCTCTTTTCTGTGCCGTCCTTGTGTGATTGCACTTTTGTACTTTCCTCCTCGGGCGGCCCCGCTTCTGTGTTTTTGCAGGGCGTCATGACTTTTTCATTTTCGCAGAGTGCGGAGATACAGTGCCTTCCCCACAGTGTCTACGTCGAATGATCGGACCGAGTTGCGACAGAGAGGGAAAATGAGGAGGAAGGTGCGACTCTCTGTGTCGCTTCGGAGAATCTTCGACCAGAGGACAGAAAAGAGAAAGAGATAGAATCGCTCCTGCCTGCTATGCGACTTAATTACGGCCCATTTGTTTAAGCATATTTTTCCAGGGGCAAATAAAATACGAAGCTCATGTGCTTCGTGTGTTTTCTTGTTGTGTAGTGCCAACAGCATTTTGTTTTAAATCCTTCCTCGTCGATCTCGCCAACCTCGCCAATAAAACAAAAGCCTCCTCAATATGTTCTCTTTTTTTCTTACGTCCTCGCTGGATCGCTGACTATCCACTGCAGTGATAGTGTCCTGGGCCGCCCAACTTGGCGGCAGCGAGTATCGAGCAGACATTGGAGAGACGAGACAGGTACAAGAGACAGGTACAAGAGACAGGAGACAGTGACGGGAGCATACCACTGGTCCCATGAAGCCCAGAAAAAAAACTTTCAATTGTAGCACTCGTCTCCCGTGCGTTGAGGACGGCACAGATCAACCTGGAAGCTTGCGACAACAGAACGCTGTCCAGAGATGGGCATTGTAAGGACAGAAAGTCCTGGCGCATTCTGGGCCGTGCCTGGCACGGGACTCAGTCAGTGTCCAGTATCTGGGTCAGTATCTGGGTCAGTATCTGAGGCCTGGTCGGCTAATATGCCGAGACGAGTGTCAAAGACGTGTGTCAAAAGAGGCGGTCAAGGGGTGAGGAACCCCGGGAAAATTCCCACGTCTGTTGAGCGTTTCTCCACGGATCTCTCCTCACATTTCTCAGCTCTCTCCACAGTCTCGCCAGCAGCACAAGTCTTAATTTCCTCTGTTCTCCAAATCTTGCATGAAGCCGCTGTCGTCGCGTTGTTATCCTACAGATGGAAATGATGCTAGAATTGGCAGAGTCGCAAGAAGAAGAAGAGAAAGAAGATGAAGAAATATTTACTTTGTACGTATTGACCTGCTGCCGTCGTGTTATAAATCAAAAGAAACGCAGAGACTGAGCGCCTACTGTCTAGGCATGAACGCCGTGCTGAGCCGTGTGCAAGTGCAAGATCAAACTGGCGGTCAGTGCTCCCAACTACATTCTACGTCGTGCACGTCTTTTTATTCGGCGTCTTGAGTGATTCTCGGTATTTTTGCTTTTGTTTTCTTGGCACTCGGGTTCTATTCGTTTCGTTTGTCTTACTCGGGTACAAGCTGTCTTTGACGATATTTTCATACTTGCTGGCCGCCAGCACTGTTGATCCTCGTGAACCCCTTCAGCTCCCAGTAAGATGCCTGGGGGAAGAGATTTGTCTCCTGCTCGTGTTTCTCCAAAGTCCAGTTACTGGTCAGGACCTGAGACGGTTTGGGGGCGTAGCCGCGGTGTGTCGACATCCCGAAGGATCTCTGGTTTCTTGTCACATTCACCCTAGAAACGCAAGGGCCATCCCCGAACGGGCCTGGACAGTTTGGCCCCCAAACCCGCCCCAAAAACAGCATCTCGGATCCTGCAGAGCCGCTGTGCGCGCCAGGCGTCCAAACAGTGACAGGAGAGACAGGGGGCGCGATTGAATATCCGTGTACATCCGTAGGTGGTTCACGTCATTGTCAGTGTCTATTCTCGCACCCACCTCGGGAGAGATGGTGATGGAGACACATGGGAGCAAGTGGAAATGAGACGACTAAGATGAGGAAAAAGAGGAGCACAACCCAGTGTCCCGGAACCCTAAAGCGTCGCTTAAATCGAGCCGGAACTGCTTCAGACGAAAAGGTATCCCGCGTTGATCTTTCAAAGGCTATGCAGGCTTACATGCGAATATCTTCACCGCAACACGCCACAGTTTGGCAAAGAAACAACAGCGTATCCTCCTACACTTGGAAAGACAACAGGTTACTCCATGCATACTTTGATAGGAAGACCGGCGTGTGCGGAAGAGCAGCCACAAAAGGCAGAGGTAGAGGTCAGATGCCTTAGAAAGCAGAGAGGAGAAATGATTGTCCAATCATGAAAAGAGGGCCTGCCAAGCAAACAAACCATTGGCCATTGGCGGCATTGGTGTCTGTATTGTGTATCATGTTCTCTCTGTAAGGTGGTTATATTGTTGTCGTCGTCGTCGTCGGTTCCCCCCTCTTCTCCCTGCGTCACAGGTTTGCTTTGGCCCGCTGCTCCTCGGCCGCCCATCGTGCATTGATCCGGCCGTTCTGCCAGTACGTCCACGCCGCCACCGCCAATCCTAATGGCGGGCACAGCAGCAGCACATTGTGCCACCATGCCGGGCTTGCCGCCTTGATCTGTGCCATGGCCGCCTCCACCTGGGCCGCCAGCTCGGCCTTGTCGCCGTCGTTCCAAAGCACCACCCCGAGCGTCTTGGCCCCGGCGGCACTCCGCGCATCCCGCGCATCCCGCGCATTCCGCGCCTCCGCCCGCCGCGCCTTGTCGCGCACGTCCCCCTGGCTGCGCACGCGGTTCGCCGCATCCTCGGCCGTCAGGTGCGGATCGCGCGCCCGCAACCGCGCCATTTGGATCTCCGGGTCCCGCACCGCCACCACCAGCACCGTCCCGCACAGCACGTCCAGCTTGCTCTCAAACAGCAGCGGAATGTCCAGCACCACCGCCCAGTGGCCCTTGACGTACGCTGCTGCGAGGGCGCGGTACATGGCGCCCCGCACCGCCGGGTGCACAATGCTGTTGAGCACGCCGCGATCGGCCTTGCGTTCCGGGCTGTCGCCAAACACGCGGCGGCCCAGCGCCGCACGGTTCAGACCCGACCCAGGCCCGTTTTGTAAGAGGTCGGGAGTCGTCGCTCCAAAGTGCGCCACAATCTTCTTGTACGCCGGCGTGCCCGGCTCGACCACCTGCCGAGCAAGCTTGTCGGCGTCGATCACGGGCAAGCCGTACGGCGGCGCGCCCAGCAGCGACGATACGGTCGACTTGCCTGTGGCAATTGAGCCCGTGAGGCCGATGAGGAGCATCGTAGCGATGGGGGGAACGGGACGGCGGGTCGAACTGCGGCGGAAATCGGTGCTACAGACGCAGAATGGAGCCTGCAGAATGCACAATGTCGTGCCGGAATGTGCTGCGCCAGAGGTGAGTGCTGGCTGCAATGTCAACAGCTTTACGTGCGTGCTTGTTACGGGCGTCGTCAGCAACAAGGTTGTCTTCGAGTGCGAGAGCAGTAGAAATATCCTCACAAGTGAAGACGAGTCGGCATGTGGTTGACGTTGACGTTGGCAGCGATCAATGTAGCCTCGGATAAGCTCAAAGCTGTTGGCAGTGCGCAGAGCAGCAAAGGTTCCCCGCGCTTATGGCGTAGTTGCCGTTAGCTGAAAGGCATTAGACAGCATCACGTGCGCCGGTGCACAATAAAACCCAGTGACAGTCCTGGGGCAGTCACTAACACGAGCTGGGAAGGAGCCATCAAGGGGTGTGTGCTGCTCTCATAAATGGACGTGTGAATGTGTTGTAAGAGGGAATACAGCATGTTCAATCAAGACGCTCTCGATTCTCGATCCCGCTCCTCGCTCCTCATACAGACGTGTTTACTAGCAAGTTTAGCTCTTCACGTCCGTCTTACATCATGGTTGGGTTCTGGACGGCTTACATTGGGTCACTGGTTACAGACGCTCGAACAGCACAGCTTTATGTCTTTCTAAGAGACGCCCGAAACATGCCAATTGCGAAACAAAATATTTACAGAGTCAGCTTCGGTACAGAATATTCAATTCTTGTCCTCGAAACCAATTCAGATAAAGGCAGCCGTTGTGGCGATGGTCGCGAATTCCTTAAGTGAATGAATAGTTTGAAAGTGGGGTCAACTGACGACACCAGACTATTTTTCTTTTTTTAAAAAAAAGTTGTCAAACAATACCACAAGCAACGTCACTCTCTCCGCCGTGTTGTCGACCGTCCATACACAATTGTCTGCACACCCTCCCACACATATACCATGACAAAAGACCGGCCAGAAGGCGTCCGTGTGGACCACCACAACGACCACGACGACGCCGCCTCGCACACCTCCGACACCTCCCACAACTTCGACCTCTTTGCCGAGCCCCCAGACTTCTACCCGCCCTCTCCGCCGCCCACTACCGAGCAGCATGCGCTCGGCCGCAGCGGCGTTCAGCTGACGCTGCATCTGGTCGGCCACAGCGTGCTCGAGGCGCACCGCCTGTGGAACGGCAGCCGCGTGCTGGCCGACTACCTGGAGGAGCGCGAGGCCCAAGGCGACCATGTCGTCAGGGACAAGACCGTCCTCGAGCTGGGCGCGGGCGCGGGCCTGCCGGGGATTGTGTGCGGGCTGGTGCTGGGGGCGCGCAAGGTGGTCGTGACCGACTACCCGGACCCGGACCTGGTGCAGACGATGCGGCGAAACATTGAAGAGGCGGAGGCCGGCGCGGCCGCGGCCGCGGCCGCGTCTGCGTCGGGCCAGCTCGCAGGCTATGTGCCCGGCACCGTGATTGCGGACGGCTACGTCTGGGGCGGCGACCCAGCGCCGATGTTGGCCCATCTGCGGCCAGCCACGAGGGGGGACGACGGGGACGAGGCGAGCGGCGCGGGAAAAGCGAGCGCCAGCGAGGCCCAAAAAGGAGCCCAAAAAGGAGCCCAAAAAGGAGCCCAAAATGAGGACCTAAAATATGACGTCTTGCTGCTGGCGGACCTTCTCTTCCGCCACGCCGAGCACAGCAAGCTGGCCTACAGCGTGGCCCAGACCCTGCGGAACGCCCCCGACAGCCGCGCCTACGTCTTCTTCACGAGCTACCGGCCGTGGCTGCGGCACAAGGACCTGGCGTTCTTTGAGCACGCGCGCGACGCGGGCCTCGTCGTCGAGCATGTGCTGGAAAGGCGCCTGGAGAAGCCGCCGCTGTTCTTTGAAAACGACCCGGGCGACGTGAGCGTGCGGTCGACCGTGTCGGGCTACTTGCTGCGGTGGCCGCAGCCCGACCAAAGCGAGGATCCGGCAGCGTTCTGGCCGCCAGGTGGATTGCCCGTAGAACCGGTGCAGGAGCCGCCCGCAGCAGGCGATGCGTAGAGGCGCAGAATAGTTTGTTGGTAGTCCATGTGCGACGTACAGTAGAAAGCATTACATAGAATACCACGTCATTTTCATCGTACTGTCGGCCGCGCGCTGCTACCCGAACCGCTGCCGCGCCAGCTCCCGCAGCATGTCCATTGTCTCCTCCTCCCGCGCCCGGTACTGCGCTCGCCGCTCGGCCAGCTCGTCGTCCCGTGCTCGCTGCTCTTCCTCCCGCCGCAGCTGCCACAGCGTCCGTCGCGCCGCCGCCTCGTCGGTCTCCTTCTTCTTTTCCTGCGCAGACCGCCGGCTGCTTCCTCCCTCGTCGCCGCCCATCAGCTCGTCGTCGCCCACCAGATCCCCGCCCGGCGACCGGTCCCGGAACCCGCGCATTTGCTCGTTGCGTTCGCGCTTCTTCTCGAGCTGCCGCTCGCGTGTGCCCGCGGCGGCCCGCGGCACGAGCTCGTCCAGCCGTTCGCGCTGCTCGGCGCGGTCGGCACGACGGGCGAGACGCAATGCGGCCCGCTCGGCTTGACAGTCTTCTTCTTCCAGCGCGCGTCGTTCGTCCAGGTCGGCGCGGCTGGGGATCGCCGGACCGGGAACGCCAAGATGCCGGCTGCGTGCGACCGAGCCGACAGATTTGCAGCTGGGGTCGCGCTCGTCTGGTGGCAATGCCGGGCCGTAGTCGCTGTCAGAGGACTCGGAGTCCTTGTCCTTGTCCTCCTCATGATCTTCCACTCGCGCATCCGCAGCCACATCTCCCCTCACGGCACGGAGAAACAGCTGTGGCTCGTACCACTTGTCCGCCAAGTCGCGCCAATTCCACTTGTCCACAAACCGACGCCACCGACTTTGGGATTGGTGCTCGTCGAGCTCGGCCAGCGTCAGATGCTTCTCCTGCGAAAGGTACGCAGCAAACACGGGCGAAAACTTGCTGTAGTCGGCGCCAGCCACCAACAATCGAGCGCCGTGGGGAAGCTGGACTGGCTTTCCGTCTTTGTCCTTGTCTCGGCCCCTGTCTCTGTCTCGATGGCGGTGACGCCTTGACCGGTGGCCGTCTCGATCCTCTATCCGGTCCTTGATCGTCTGTTGTTTACGCTCGCGTGGCGAACGTGACCGAGTCCGACGATGTTCGCGGTGGTGGCGCTGGTGCTGACGGTGTTCACGCTCACGGTGACGGTGCTTCTCTCGTCTGCCGGGACTCGACCGCCGAGAGCTCTCAGTGCCTTTGTCTTCCATGTTGGCAAACTTGAACCTGCCGCTGTTATGGTCTGGACGTGAATATGAGTGTGAAGAAGTTGGATGAAGGTCGGCGCCAAAAAGAGCAAGTGAAATTTAGTGGGGCAGAGCTCCAACTAGGCCAATCAGCAGGCAGACGCAACCGTTCTCTTGTTGGTGCAACTGCTGCATAACAACGAATGAATACCACCTGATTGTCTGTGACGAGAAATATTCACATCAACAAAAAAGGATAATAATGAAGGAAGTCAATTTGGCATGAATGAAGGGAAATATAGTGGAGAGAAAATAAAAACTAAGAAGAACAAAGAAAGGGGACAAAAAAAAAGAATGAAAGTATCCAAACAAAATAATCGTGTGCTACACGGCAAAATAAATATCAAAACCATAAATGAAGTAAATTGTCCCAGAAAATTAAAAAGAAACCCCAAATCAAAAACACCACTCAATATGACACGATATGCCGCCCTGGGTATTCGAAATAATCCCCCCACCCCAAATAGCTGGACAAGAATGGAGACGATGCTGGAGCTCTTCCGTGCGTCCCTTTTCGCCCAAGTCGACAGAATAACAGTCCACATAAGCACAGGGCACCTACAAAGCGTTGTTATGAATTGTGCATCCGACACACTGACAGTCGTCGCCGCAGGGGCATGTCAACCCCTCGCCATCGCAATCCATCACGGAGTAGCTGACAAACAAGAAATCGCCGGCAGGCAGCGATGACTGCTGGTCTTCGCTGACACCCGACGTGTCAGACGCCGAGGGCGTAAAGGCTTGTTGCGAGGGTGATGTAGAATCCGCGTTGGCTTGAGGCGGCAGTGTCGTCGTCACCGTCGACGTCGCCGTCGCCGTCGCCGTCGAGGTCGAAGTCATCGTCCGTGCACTCGAGTTGCTCGGCGAGTCGCCCATGTAGCTCCACACCGAGCGGATCGTATCTTGTGTCGCATTGTTGAACGGGTGCGCAACGCAGCCTATGCATTCGCAGCCGTCACCGCACGAACACATGTGCAAGTCGCCACCACCGTCCAACAGACCACCATTGTGTACCGCAAACTGTTGTTGCTGCTGCTGGTGATGCTGTTCATGCTGCTGCTGTTGTTGGTGTTGTATTGTCGCTGCGTCATACCGTTGGTGTTGTCCCTGCATGTATAGATGTGCATCGGGTCCGGTCGTGATTAGGCTCGCGCGCCACTGCGATGACTGCAGAGGCGCCGACACTGTGCCATACTCTGGTGGATAGCGGTACCATGCTGGCGAACCGTGGGACTGATGCTGCTGCTGCTGCTGCTGCTGTCGTTGTTGTTGTTGCTGCGGCGGCTGCTGATGTGCGTACCCAGCGTAGTGGGTCAGTGGTACTCCGTGCTGCTGTTGCAGGCTAGCGTACTGGTCGACGTGGCCATTGCTGGCATTGGCCATGGGCGGCTTGACGTCGCCTGTACTCGAACCATTACGAGAAGACTTGGCTAGAGGAATCGACGACAGCGATACGGATCCTGGTCCGCCGCCTATCCTGCTTTCTGACTTGAGCATCGTGTGCTGCTGCGACGAAGAGGACGATGCCGTCACTGGCGACCCCGAGCAACAGCTCTTGGCATTCGAGTGGGAGCTGGCTGTCGTACCACTGCCACCGGTACTTGCCAACGAGGTTGTGCTTGACGTAGGTGTGTGCCGCGCCGACTCGGTCACCAAGTGCTGCGGCTGTGTCGCCGGTGCACAGCATGAGCCTTTTGCCGTGGCAGCAGCAGGCGCTGCCGATACTGATACGGGTGCTGGCGCTGGCGCTGGTGCTGATACTGCTGCTGGCGTGTGTGATGCCTGATACTGCAGACCGTGGAAACCGTTTACCTGGCCTGGTCGTAGGTCTCTGAGGTTGAGGCCAAACCCGTCCAAACCCTCACCCAACGTCGTCGACATTCCCATGCCGTCGTCGAAAAAGCCATTAAAGTCGCCGCGCCCGCCGTTGGCGTACATGCCGTGCTCGCCTGGTCCGGGGTCCTGCAACGGGTAGCCGGACTGGGCATATGCACCGGCGCCGGGATTCGTAAACATGGCTGTCTGCTCGCCCTGGCCGCCAAAAAAGGCCACGGACTCGTTCGGAAGCATAAATTGGCCGCCGTTCGTGTGGCCCGAGCCAGTGAGGGAGGAGAGGTTGTCGATATTCTGTGGCGGGTGTCCGTTAGACGGCCAGCCGGCGGTACCGGGTGGTGGGGCGTGAATATTCATCAGATTAACATCAGTGCGGCCGAGTGCACTGGGGTCGATGCGCCGTGCCATGGACTTGGGCGACATCGGTGGTTTGAAGAAGGCTCGTTTTGAAGGCGAGCGCGGCGTCTTGGAGATGGAGGCACTGCCGTTGCCGCTGGCGCCGTTAACGCCAGCAGCGCCGGAGGCTGACTTGGACCCACAACCGCATTTGCGCGAGCGCGGGAGGGCGGCCGTGACGGTAGCGCATGAGCAGCCATTGTTGGGCGGGTGCGGGCAGATACTGAGTGGTCGGCCCGGTTTCCGGACAGGGAGCATAACACGCTCGCTAGCATGGTTGCATTTTGTTGAACGATGGCCGCGAATGCAAGGCTCGCTGTATAGAAAGGACGTTGTTAGTCTAGCTTTTCGCAAAGGAAAGGACAAAAAAAGGGAAATGAGTTCAAAAATGCAGTCGTAAAAATATGCGCTCGTTTCGCGTTATTCTCACATATCCCACCCGTTCACGCGGTACATGCAATCTCGCTCAATCGGCTTATTCCTTCTTAGCTCTGCGATCGATCTTACACCGTGAATGGTAAGATGGAGCGAGCACAGCATATAAAAAAAGCTGCTTTTCTCCCATAATTTGAACAAGAGAAAAAGTGATACAGATGAGACCAGAACGGACGCTACTAATTGAGTCGGAAAATGGGGATTCTTCACCGCGATGGTGGTAGGCAGTAACGGGAAGCAAAGTGTGGAATGCAAAACAGGAATTGACGATATCGAGCAAAACGAGCGCAGAGCCCCGTAGTGCAGGTAAAAGAGAAACGAGGTGCGATGGGGAGAAGAGTTGGGCAGCGCCGAAGAAGAAGAAGAAAAGAGGACGACTTACCAAGCCATCTTGATGCCGTTTATCATCGGCATATTGTACGGTTTGTAGATTGCTAGTCCCTATTTTTTGAGAAGTAGCTCTTGCGCATGCGTGCGACGCGGTGAAGAGTTGAGTTGTGATGCGAAGGCGACTTGAATACGCAGACACGCCTAGAGTGTTCAAAACACGAAAAGCCGAGTAAAAGAGTGTTGGTGAGCCCCTGAGCAGGTTTACAAAACAACCTGGATCCTAACACGGGACGTGGGGTTTAGGCCAAGGCGTGGGATGTAATAGTTTGTAATAGGGCAATCAGGTAATCAAAGTAGCAGCCTTAATTAGACACTGATGTAATTAAGCTCGCACTGCACATGCTCTCCATAGGCGAGGCGGTTAGCTGCGGTCGTTTGTTGGTACTTGATGGATGCCAGTTGATAAATACACATCTGGCGGGCCGCGTCGTTGGTAAGTTGCAGCGAGACCGAGAAATTGTTGGATGAAGAGGACGGGGTGTAAAGTGAACGGTGACAAGCATGAGCTGAGAAGAGAAAATAAGGGATAGTGATAAGAAGAAGAGTCGAGAACGAAATCGCGATGTAAGCTGGGGGAGGAAAGAAAAAAGAGACAACGATAAAGGTGAAAAGAGACAGACGAGTTCGTTTTCGGGAGTCCGTTTGCACCAATAGAAGGCACCCCAGACGGCTTTATGCTGCAGGCGTGCGACGCCACAAATAGGGCAAAATGCGCAAGTATGCGATATAAGTCGACGCTTTGTGATGAGAAGCGTAAACTTTTCTCACGCCTGTCGTATCAGTCTGTTTCTTGGGCCTTCTCTTTGTCGTTCTATTTGCTGTTTGGGCCTCCGGGAAGCCGTGTAAACGTACGTAAGACGGGAGGAAATATTAATAGAAAAAGAGAAAGTAGACGAATCCGGAGTGTTGTTTAGTCTTTTCGATCGAGGTCTGTGTTTTGTCCAAGACTTTGTCGTGAGTTGTGCTTTATTGGGGAAAGAGTTCAAGATATAGACTGAAGCCTGCCCACCACGACCGTTTTCTGATGTCGGATTCGGGAGAGAGAGCGACGGCGTAGATTCAGAGAGTAAGAAGTGACTTGATGTGCGCTCGTGTTTATTCTTGTCGCTTCTCTTGTCTTCTGTCTTTGCTTTGAGTCTGTCGAGCCGACAACGGGCAAAATAAAATGGAGGGCCAGAGACAAAAAACGATGGCAGCTAATCGAAACGCCAACAGGGAATCTTCGGGTAAAGCAAGCTTATATATGAGGAAGTATATATATGCTTGGGTCTCTGGCCAGAAACGTTTCCCATCGAAATATCAGCTTCTGGAATCTTCAAAGAAGAGTGGATACAGAAAGATAGAGACAGGGAAAGGCCGAGAATATGGAGTTCTTTTTTCTAATGTCTTCCTAGTATCGATTCGAGTTCGTCTGCTGGTTTCCAACACGTCACATCGACAAAAAGAGACCACCCCGGACAAGGTACAATGCCCTTTTGTTGAGGCGATTTAAGCGAATAGGGAGGGCGACAGCAACAAATGTCGAGGCGTGATGACGAAGGTATGGCCGCCACCGAGGAGAGCGTGTGTATCGAGCGGACTGACTTATTGAAACGAAAAATAAAATGGCTTGCACAAAGCGGTAGTCACTTGAAACATGGACGAGAAGCGCAAAGGCACGGTCGCGATGCGGAGGGCAGGTGAGCGACTTGTTCGGTGTTGTCGTCGGTGGTAGAGGAGCTGAAATTGCTGAAAAAGCTGGACGAGTGCCTGTGGCCGGTTATCGATGGGCGCTGTTGTCGACTGCAGGAGAGGTTTGCAGGATGGTGTGGGAGGAGAAGAGACGTCAGGCGAGACCCGAGAGACTTGAGTCTTGACTGACGAGTTGAGAAGGGCCAGATAACTGGACAGCTGGACACGAAACAGAGGAATCTGAGACGGCCTTTCTCAAAAGCGTGTAAAGGAGGGAAGGCGAGACAAGTCAAGATAGGTCTAGACAAGTCAGCACCACAACACCATGAACACACAAGGTTGCTGCGTGTCTTGGCTACGGTCGCACGTCGAATCCAAGTTTGTCAAGCAGGCACTCGGGAAGGACATGCAATAGCAGCAGCAGTCATGCAGTGCGATGCGGTCGGTTGCTGTTTTAGGCTGGCAGGTGTTCACCGTGGTAGACGGGCGTTTGTGTGTGTGTCGTCGAGGGGCAAGAGCGCGCGCGAGAGAAAGAGAGACTCTGTGGAGGTGGAGAGGTCTTGGATAGGAGGCGTGAGAGGCTTGTGGCTAGGTTCGTCCGAGAGTACGCCTGTCCGAGCTGAGGAGGTCTGCACAGTCGAGATTCCGCGCCACGTTTCTACCCGTGACTTGTGACTTGTCGCGCTATTGCAGTCGGTGCAGTCGGTGCAGTCGGTGCAGTCGGTGCAGTCGGTACAGCCGCGGGAAGGCAGAGGGATAGAGTGGGAAAGAAACAAGGGTCCGGATAGTCACAGAGACAGAGGGAGGGGCCGCTTCCGACGATCGAGGCCAGAGCCGTTGATCCGCGTTCTGCGTTCTGCGTTCCGCGATCCGCGATCCGTTGGAAGGGTTTAAGGCAAGGTACCGATGGTAAGGACACCGATGGCCCCTTTGTCTTTTCCTTTTCCGTTTGTTTTTCTTTTTCTTTTTTTTCTTAGCTCGCGGCCTTCGCTCGTGGCTGGCCGTTTTCCGGTCACCTTGTTCTGGGGCAAGGCTGTGTGGCCTGGCCTAGACGATGTCCTATGGCCTGGGGAATGTCTTGGCTCCACAGACGATCCGCACGAAGAGATAGGCGTCCTCGATTGGATCCAAGACAAAAACCAACTGAGGCAAAACGAGAGGGGTGGTGGCTCTCTGGACGTGGTTGCAGCAGATACACACAAGCTGGGTGGCGCAGACTGGTGCAGAGTGTGCAAACAATGAGGACACTGCAGAAACTTGCTCAACCCTTGGGGTGGGCTGTCAAGGTGAGGCAGTTTTCCATGCAAACGATGCAGGTTGCCGGTGTATACACAGCAGCAAAGCAGCCCTTAGGAAGAAGATATGGGGATGGGGCGGCTCGAGCTGGCGTTAGTCTTTTAAGTCGTCGTAAGTTGTTAAAGCGGGTGGCGGCAATATACAGAAGGAATCCAATATATATAAGTCGGGCGTATTACAAAAAACCACGAACTGAGCAGGGAGCAACGGAGGAAGGCTGCCTACACAGCGTGCAAATGTGAAGAGGGGGGTTGGCCGCGAGAGAGGACAAACAAAGGCAGCGGCCACAGGCTGACAGGCAGTGACAGGGAGGGACAGAGACAGAGGCCCGGGAAAGCGAGCGCGTCCGCAGAGTGAGAAGAGGTGAGAGGTGAGAGGTAGGCCAGGGTGGTATGCGGGATGAAGAGACGTGGGCAGCGGGAAAGACGTGACCGAAAGGTAAAGGCGAAGCCGAAGCCGAGGACGTGGATAGGGCTCCTTGTATGGAGGAGCGAGAATCGTCGAGGTCACAGTGCGGTTGGTGAGCGGCGGGGATGCCTGCACACGACGTCGCTTGTGAGGCTGTTGTAAGAAATGGCGAGAGGAGGACGTAGAAGTCGCGGAAGTCGTAACGACAAGGCCGAAGACGTCGAAAAGGCCAGGTGATGCCGAAAGAACGGAAAGAATACGCAGTACTGCGATGAGAACAAAGCAAAACAACAAAAGAAAGTACAGACGACAGCAATAAGAACGAAAATAAGAGCAAAAGTCGAGGGGTGTCAGAGCAAGACGAGGAGGTCAGGTCAAGACCCTTGTTCGTCCTTAGTTTCCCGGCTCTCGTTTCTGGTGCAATGGTGCAGGTCCGTGCAGCAGAAAGCCCCCTCTTGGTCTGTTTCTTGATGTTTCGACCAGCGACAGAAGCAGACAAGACGATGGACAGTGAGAGATGAGAGGCCCTGTCGGGTGGAGGGCGCTGCAGCGGAGGAGGACGAGGAAGGCAGAATCGACAATTGTCGCCGGTTGATGTTTAACGAGGCACGGAGTATTGCTGGGAAGAAGTCCACGAAAGTGAAGAGAAACGATCCGGTGTAGGCCGCTGGAAATTTTCCCTTTTTTGGGTCTGTCAGCCCTCCGAAACAGGAAGGAAACCGCCAACACGCCACAGCCAATATGGATCTACGACGTATTATGAGTCGCTCTTTCACCTTTCGTATCCAAAGTACGCCAGCCGCGCACTAAAAGACAAGTGCAACACGTATCTCGCTGCATATATCGCAGCTGCTGTACGAATCCAAGCAGACGGCTAGACAACGGGAAGGGGCGATCTTTTGGCGATTGCCCTCGAACAACACGAGAAACGCACGAGGCAGGACCGACCGCGAAGTGCACTGAATCAATGTGCACCCAATCTCTCCATCTCTCCAACCGCCAACTACCGGTGAAGGTTCCGAACAGGCCAAAAGAGGGTGGCAATGGCGACATGGCTGGGCCACTCCAGCCAGGGCAGCGTCGACAGAACCTCGTTCTGATATGTGCACTCGGAGCTTGTCCTACACGACGTCCGATCTTACAGATGGGAGGAAGCTTTCCAATCAGCGCGGCAGCACCTTCCAACCCGACAAAACTATCAAAGGGCAGCAGCAGCGGTCCTTCCTTTTCTCGACATTTGCCAAAATGAACATTGGGTTGCTTCTGTTTGGCGTGGGAAAGGGGACAAAATGTACTTCGTAAATAGGCAAGAGCCACCGAGACTCAATTTCACATGGGGATCTCCAAACTTTTTTTAATAGTGGGGTGCCGCACAACACATCGCACGGGTGCTTTTTGGGGGTCGCTGGGGGGGAAGGAGGTGACGAAAGAAAAAAGGTCCCACTTCAGTATGAGCAAGTTTCCATTGGCCCGCACGGCTCAGGAAAGGTGGGGAACGGAGTTCCAGGGCCAATTTTTACGGCCTTGGGGGTCTCAAGAGAGTTGGGCAAGGCAATTGCGACCCACAGCCGGCGCCAAGAGCGCTGGTGTGAAATCGGCTCGCTTTGCGCTTCCCAGTGGTAGTCTGTTGGAGAGAAAGCGCAACCGGC